CCCAGACAAATTTAAGGCATTATTCTAATATTATCGACGCAATGACTAAAATCTTTTGTTAAATGGTGATTTGAATTTAAAATCGGCATTTGCTCGATGGGTTTTTGTGAGTTGTTTATTGTTTCAGAAAAACAATGTCCTGCTCTGCATGTTTTGGCTGCGGGCTGCAGCCATAATTCATGAGCTGCGAAAACATTTTGACAAAAATTAGAACAAAAATAAATCATTTTTCAATTTTTTTTTTCTTTCAAATTGACAATTTTCCGTGAAAAATTATTTAAATTAACATTTCTTCACAAAATAATTTTTAACACAAAATTTGGTATTTAATTCAATTTAATTCTTTTGTTAACCTTGTGAAATTATTGTTAAAGTAGCAAACCAACATTGTAAAAAATAAATTCAAACAAATTAACAGTTAACACCGATCACCATGAAAAATTTAGCTTGCTCTAGTTTCAAAACATGTATATTTATATATCACCGGGCATTCTCTGCCCAAATACATCATATTGTGCCATTTTGATGGAGCGATAAATATAATGGGTGTATTATTCAATAATTAGACGGAAGATAAAACCAATAAACTTGTGGTAATAAAAACTTTTTCGGTGGAAGTGCTACGTGGAAATCTTAGTTTACATTCAGCCAGAAGCTTCCTGAATAACCCCTGAGCAGTTTACCATGTGCCATTTTGATGGAAGGACAAATATTACGGGTGTATTTTTCAATAATTTGAAGTAGGAAAAAAGTAACAGAGGGAAATCTGAGTCTCAAGCCAGTGAAAATTAATAATTTTTTTGTGGAAATGCTCAAAATGCTGCGTTGAAATCTTAGTTTACTATAAACCAGAAGCTTTGTAAAAAAACCCTGAGCAGATTTTTTGTCTTTACTTAAGAATAAATTAATGCAAAATGTTTCAATCTTGTCTGAAAATCACGCTTCCCTTGATTAATTAATTTTTGTTTTTGTTTTCAATGTTTTTTCCATTGGATAAAGGATTTAGTTATTACTATAAACAGGAAACTATAAATCGATTATTAATTCTAATTCTTGATTAAATTATGTTAAATTATGTCCTTGGCGTGCACATCAGCAGAGACCTGCGGTGGAACAAGCACACGGACATTGCCCGCGGTAAGGCAGCCAAAGTTCTCTCCTTTGCGGCCCGCAACCTGCACGGCTGCACCCCGAGAGTGAAGCGGCTTGCCTACCAAACAATGGTCAAGCCGCTCATGTTCTATGCGACCCCTGCGTGGCACCCGTCCATCCAGTTAAATATTTTAAAATTTGAGAGAGTTCAGAATAGAGCCCTTAGGTTTGTGTACGGGCGGCACATTTCCGAGGCGGCCAAGACCGAGCTGCTTACCGTCCAGCAGCAGCTGAAGTACAACGACTTGACTTTCTTCCGAAAGTGTCTGGACGGAGACACCGACATGGACGCGATGGCGCGAATAAAGACTGGCCGAAAGATAAGAGACAGTAGCAGTGACGAAGAGCACCACCGACTCATTCCTCCAAAAGTGCGCACCGACCTCGGCCTCTACTCATTTCCCTTTCGCCTCGCGTCCCAATGGAACTCCCTCCCTTCTGTGTTAAAATCGTGTGCGTCTAATAATTTCCCGAAATTGTGCAAAGAGCATGTAAAACAAATTTAAACTTCTTTTTTCCCGTAGTTTAGGCTGCAGTGCGGCGAGTAGTCGGGTATTTATCGCCTCTTGGTAAATACTCGGCTATGAGTTTCAGTGAGTTGTTCACTAGCACTGTGTGCCTATTTTTCTCCCAACCAATTTTTCACAATTGATTGTTTGACTTGTTTGGAGAAAAATAAAAATGAATTGAAGTTAAATAATCAGTTATGTAACCGAGAGAAATTTGCAATCATTGACCTCTGTCTAAAATATTAGTACATGTTAAAAAATAAATTAATGAGAGACACAATAATTATTTGTGTAAATGTGTTTGTCCTTTTTGCTACTAATTATTTTTTGTACAGAGCAAACATCGATCGTCATTTCATCGCCGTACGAAATGACCTCTGGGGAATGCCTAGCGCGCAGTGCTTTACCACTTTTTTTTCATCTCTCGTGGTGAATCATCTTCGCATGTCGCGCCATAAACACAACAACTCAATGCAAACTCACCTGTCATCCCTATTACGGACGCGCTTGTGTATTTTTTGCGCGTGTGGGTAAAGAGGACTTTTATTGCAACAAAAGACAAACAAACTTTTTGTCGCCCCCAATTTCGTCCGCTCAGCAATTCTCTCAGCAATTTCCGCTTCCTTTTCTGAGCGCCCGTTTCTGCGACCCTGCCGCGGTACACTTTTGACGAAAACAAAACTCACCTACTCACGCAGCTGGCACGCGTGTCCAATTTACATAAAATCTCGAACAATGCAATAAGAAATCTTCAGTGTACGGATTAAAATGAAACCTCATCCTCATTTAAATAAAATTGAGTGCAATATTATTAGAAATGAAAATTTAAATCGATTGATGCAAACTTTTATTTATCATGTTTGTTGCTCGTTCTTATTTATAAACAAAAATTAATATTTGAAATAGCAGCAAATAAGACTTTAAAATAAAATATGCATAATTATGTGAAGACTAGAAGAAAGATCCGCGCAAGCTAATTTGTTTCACTCCAATCTTCTGGTACAATTCGAAGGGATGTCATTTAATTTTTGCTTTTATATTATGCGAATCCCTACTGTTGTGTACATACTGTGTATAATAATATATAAGATATTGAGAATATTTCTCAGACAACAAATTTTGGTTTCCACTAAAACGATCCATTACAGACGTTTGATAAAAACTTTATAAATGAAATTATATTTTTATGAGAGAATTTTTATTGAATAATTAAGTACAATATTATTAATTATACATGCAAATATTTGTATCTGGTCTGTTTAAAATGTTAACAAAAAAGAAATAAAGATATAATTAAAAAAATAGAAAATATTAAATTTACTATAATTTGGACTTAAATTTTAAATAATAATAAAGTGTTTTGTTTATACTTTTTATTTAGTAATGTTCAAATTAGGCTAAAAATAAAAGAACAAAACTCAGTGCATTGTTGAAATGGACGGACAGGCCGTTTTATCGGTGGTTCGTCGTCGGTGCTCCTTTCTCGTGAACTTCACCTCTATTGTGGCAACAACCATAAAACTTTTTGCCGCCGCCGCCGCCAACACACGCGCCGGTGTAACCACATTAGAAGCTGCACAAGCAACAGTTGCCGCCGCGGACCGGAGCGTGAATTTCGTCGGAGGCCTTTTTGCACACTTACTTGATTTTAATTGGCTGAACTTTGGACAAAACTTTGAAAGTGGGAATTATTGCGAAATCCAGTAAAGCGCCCGTGTGATTAAATCAGGAGGACTTGAGAAATAATTAAATATGTAGGATATGAAATGGAAATACAATTTGGAATTTTTTTTAAAAATATAAAAGGTACTTTTGTTTAAAAATAGACAAAATCTTTCATGTAATAAAATCGTCAATACTTCAATTTTAAAGAAATGAAATAATTTGTATAGCGATTATTGTGTTTAATCATGTGGCGATTTTTTTAAGTTGTAAGTTGTAAATTAATTGCTTAGGCCATAGCCATAGATTACCCCCTTCCTCTCAACTTGTAGCAACAAACGAAAATGAAAAATAAGAAAAATAATTTTAAAAAAAGGAAAAAGATTGCTTTTTTAAAGAACTAGCATAAAACTAGTTTTATTGCGCTGTAAGTATAGAAAAGTAATAAAAACTTGTTGAAATAATGCGTACAAATTTTTTATATTAATTTAAAAAATTATAATAATCAATAAAGTATATAATTAATTTAAAAAAATGTCTTCTAGAGACGCGCCACAAGCCGCACCGTCGCAGCTTCTAAATCATATTGCGAAATAAGGTGCGGTGTGCTCGGCAAGTTGTGCCGTGCGCTGCAGACGCGCAATCCATCCACTTAATTAACACCCATCCATCAACCATCAACTCTCTCGCTCAAGTTCGCCATAATGCGTTGAGCAGGGTTTGCAGAAATTTTTCGCGCCCTTTTATGTTCTCAAAGGGGAAGTTTTGCCAAAGCTGCCAGCAAAGTTGTTCAGCAGGGCTTAATTAATTATTTTGCACCAGCAGCATTTTTGTGGTAAACAATTTTGTAAAACAAAATTTGGCCTTTCAGAGGCTGGATTCTATTTATAGAACTACATAAGTCAACTGAGACTCACTGTGGAGTTTGAGGTCTTTTTGATCCTGAAAGTTAGACCAAAAAGCGATGTCCAACAATCTAATGTTCCCCTCCGAAAAACTACTGATTTTTTAATATAAAATTTTTGTTTATTGAACAAATAAACAATTTTATTAATAAAAAATATGCTGTCGCTATTATATTAAATTTATTTTATATTTAATATGGGTTAATTCTGCATTTTCAGGGACACTATTTTAAGAAGAATTTGTTATAATCTCTAAGTCACGAATAAGGATTTCGGGAAACACCCACGCACTCTCAGCAATTTCATTCAAATGGCTCACAATTTGTTAATTGCGATGAAACGCACGATTCTCAAGAACTTTTGGGTTGTAAAACGATCAAAAGGCACGCGCTTCGTGTTCAAGCACCAGAAATAATTGTTTCAAAACCAATCGGAAAGCGGCACTGCTTATTGTTAACTAATTAACCTCGGTTTAAAAATTTTATTACAGTTCCAATAAAAAAAAATGCACCACTTTGCAAAAAAAAATGGCCAGTTTCAATCGAAACCGCAATCGTTTCCAAACACTTAATGTGACATAATGAGCCCTTGAGCTGTTTTTTTTTCTTTTTTTTTAGCCGAAAAAAGACAACAACTCTGGCAGGTAGGTGGGCTCGTTGCATGCGGTTCCTGGATCCTTGAACTTGATCGTGAATCACACTGCAGAATTCGCACGCACCGGAGGAGGGGAGGAGCGCCAGGGTAGCAGCAGACGAGAGAGGGGAGTGCGGCAGATTCACCTGCGAGCCTCTCGGGTGTATAAAAAGCAGCCGGTCTCGAAAAGTCCAAACACAGTCCACCATGAAGTTTGCTCTGCTGCTGGTGAGTGACAAAGATTTTCTCCTGCTTTCTTTGATATTCAAATTTTACTGCCGCGATAATGCACAATTCACCGCCCCGGGTTCGAGTTTCCACTTTATCTTTTCATCCCCCGGCTCTGATCCGATTTCCACTCCGGAAATTCCTTTCTTATGCATTATATTCGCTCGACCCATTTTTCCAAGGGAATTTTACACGATTTCTCGCGAGTGCAATTTCACCGTCAGTTGCCGCGATGCAGGTAGAATGCGAAATGCAAACAATTCATTTGCATTTCCTTGTGTGCACAAGGAAAATCGTTCCTTTGAGCGCAGTTCGATCGATTGGGCGTGAATAAATAATCGTCTGCAATGCACGTAACAAATCACTTTTTCGCGTGGTGACGATGAAGATGCTGCTGATGCAGATCATCCCTTTTTCACACTGACCTCGTTGAAAAAAGTGAGAAGCAATATTTATTTTAACAATTTTATTTATTCGGATAAATTCTTAAGCTGTTGTTTTGCTATTTTTCACAAATTAATTAAATTATTTTTATCTCAAAGTACTAATTTTTAAAAATAGCTTACTTGTTCTTTAAAGATCTCTTTTTTGAATCGGATTTTATAAAAAAAAAATATCTCTTGTAAATTAAATTGAATTTTGAAAACATTGAAACATTTAGACAAATCATCTTCCCCTTATTATCACGAGGGTTGTTTTCATACCTCATTAAAATATTGTTGCACCCTTTTTACATGACATAGGAAATTTGCATATTATTCAGAATAAATTAAACTTTTTTGCGCAAAAGTGAACTAATCCAATCCCTCAACCCTGCTCCGCAGTGGGAATAATAATTCTCCGTGTAATTAATTTTTTTTTGTGTAGACTGCTCTCCGCCGCACGTTTTAATGCGATAACGCACCTTGAACACGACTCGTTTTTGCCGGCGCTCGAGCATTTTTGGGGCTAAAAGCCTTTGCTGGCGGCCGCGTTAATATATTAAAAACCGGGCGCGCGCTTTTGTGCTCGACGCGCTTATGAAAACATTTCCTTGACGCTCGCGAACGCGCGCGAAAGTAATGAATAGCACTCGAGTACTTTTTGATGTTGCTGCTTCGGCAACTTTTCTTCAGCTTCTTTTTCTTATTGCCGCGCAGCACTTATACTCGTGCATGCCGAAAAGGCTGATGAAAGACAAATCCGGCCGAAGCCGACGATTGTTCCCGGTTTTTCTCTCTTCTTCCCCGCAATGGAGTGTGTTTTGATTTGGCTCCGCGAACGTGCGGTTTCCATTCTTTTGATCCCTTTACCCAATTCATTTCGCTCTGTTTGCCGAAAGCGGGAGGCAATTTTCTGAAAAATCTCCTATAAAAGCAACAGTGCCCCACGGCGCTGTTTTTTTTCTTCAGAGAAAGAAAAGATTGTTGCGCGATCAAAGCTTCTCTGAAAGAAAAAATCCTTTGAAAAAAAACGCTCCAAACAAATTTCGCTTCCTAATTAGGCCTTCAACTAATTGGAAGTTGATAAAAATAAATAAATAAAAATACAAAAACACAATATGGCAAGGAAATATCTATTTTATTTTATTTTTTAATTATAAACGTTTTCGTTATCATTGGGTAGATAAAACAATAATTATTGTTATGTTTATTTATAGTAAATTTTATAATTAATTAAGTGATCATACATAAATTACTCTGTTTATTAAATAAAAAACCCTTTTTTTGTTGCAATTAAGATATTTATTTATGCTATTTTCTAAACACATTCCTGGATATTCATTTCTTTTTACACTTTTAATTCCATAATATTATAATTATGGATATGGAATGAGAAATTTATTATGTCATTTTCAAATCTATTTTGTTTTACTTCTGAAGGTATAATATTTAATATAAACAGAGAATAAAAGGTTTCAAATTTATTTTCATTTAATTATTCATCTGTTACGTTGCACAATCATTAAAATTTATTAAAAATATTTACACTTTTTTTATAGATTACAATATTATATTTCAAATATAAATTAGTTTTAACAATTAAAAATTAAATCTGTTTTTTACCAACATATACAAAATATTAAAAAATATATTATTCATTATAAAAATTAAAAAAAAACTTAAATACTATTTAAAAAAAAAATACGTATAATAGCAACATATTAATTAAATTACTAACATTTACCTCTAAAACTTTTTAAATCTGTCATAATCTATTTAAGGAAAATAAAAAACATTTACAATAAAATTATTTTACCCTTCATATAATTTAATTTTCTCCATTTTTTTTTAAATTTCCAGCTCGTCGCTCTTGCCGCCGTTCTTGGCTCGGTGTGCGCCCAGGAGGCCTCTGCCGCCGCCCCCGCCGCCGACGTCGCTGCCGACGCCGCCCCCGCTGAGGAATCCGACGACCTGGCCGTTGATGAGAACCGCTACTGGGGACGCAGACACTACGGCGGCTATGGTGGCTATGGAGGCTATGGAGGTTACGGAGGCTACGGAGGATACTACCGTCGTCCCTACTACGGCGGATACGGAGGCTACTACAGGCGGCCGCACTACGGCTATGGCGGCTACGGCTACTACGGCTAAATGTGAGCGGTCGGACGGAGAGAGAGAACAACCCACTGAAAAAAAACAACGATCACCCCGATTCTCACAGGACAGATGAAATTTTATTATAATGTAAAAAAAAGTATTCAATGCCAGTTTCATATATTTTCATGCATTTGTACAACTTTTGGTGCGGGACCAACAACTACTCGTGCTAGAAATAGTTTATGTGTCACACATTTGATCAATAAAGAGTAATAATTTTATATTTAATGCAAAATTTGGCTACTTTATTATTATTATTTTATACAAATTTAATTCCTAGCGATACTCGAAGAAAATTCTTCTCTGAATTGTTTAAATCCAATAATCCAATCCATAGTTTTCAAAAGTTCACAATATTGTTGGATATTTATAAAAATAAATAGCATAGCAAATTTACTTTAACGGCGCAAAAATTTCAATCAATATTTTGTGGGGCTTGATTTTAAAATCATCTGTTGTTTATTTTGTTTATGAAAATGGTAGTTAGAAATATTTATAATTCCATAAACTAATTTTTAATTAATATAATTAAACTCTCATGAATTATGGCCGTAACCAAAATGTAAATTATGCAAATTACTCTAAAATTCAATTTCATTTAAAAAAATAATATCAATATTTGTTTCAAAAGATAGAAATTACCCCTTTTATTGATTAAAATATTGTACAAAATATTTTAAAACAGGTATAGGTATTTTTGATTTGAATTTTTTTACAACAATTTCAATTAGTTTTATTCATAATTATTTTCAACATGGTTAAATTTCTCCTTGCATAGTAAAAGAATTTTTAATTTTTTTCCTTCTTCCAGCACATATCTCAAAATTCTTTGAAATTTTGGATTTTTTGTGTGTTTAATTTACGTCCTAAGAAAATGAACAACTTCTCAACTTGAAAATACTGCAGAGGACGAACAAACCGGTTGCATTGAAAAAATGCAAGTCCTTGAAATTAATGTTGTATTGGAGCGAGGTGGGTTGTGCTGAACTCAAGCACATTTATTGCAGTGCAGCCGACAGAAGTCACCTCTCCGTGTAATTAATATTTGCACTGCTGCGTCGTTAGCACTCGTTGCTGGCCGGTCAGCAGGACGCTCTGCACACCAGCAGCATTATTTGCTTATTTCGCCCTTGGATTGCATTTAATCCACATGGTGCCAAGTGGCCGCTCGCGCACAGCTGTTGGACCGGCAAGAAGAAGAAGAAGAAGAAGAAGTGGCGCCGTTGATTTTTATTTTTATGTCCTCTGCTTGCACCGATGCACTTTCGCCCCCCGTCGCTGTAATGGGGTGGAAACTGGCGCTGCTTGTTTACTTTGCAAAGTGCAACGCTACTGGACCGTGACTGGCCTAATTTATTATTATACACGCTGGGGCCGCAATTCCATTTACGGGGCAGTCGGTGTGGCCAATAAAAAACATTTGGTCTCATTTAAAAATTTCGTCTTTCACATTAGAAAGAAAAAATAAAGGATAATTGCAAACACAACTTTTTTGGGGGGAAAAACTATAAAGTTGCTATGGACTTTCATTTTTGTTTGTTTGATATAAAATTTTCCTGTCAAAAATAAATTATTAAATTATTGCTTGCAAATTTCTGTTCCTCAAACTGAAAATCTATGACGACCTTTTTTAATCACTTACATGATGAATGCTCATTAATTAGAGACCCATGAAGACAAATTTATTTTATTCGCTTCAAAATCGAGTCATTCCGATTGAGATTGAAAGGAAGCAGTAAAATTTAAAACAACCTACAGAATTTATTGGTCTTAAATTAATTAGGTCCGATTAATTAATGTGCGGTTGGTGGCGCGAAAAGCGATTCGTCTGGTCGTAAAAAGCTGCAGCCGGAAAAGGGGAACAATTGACCGTTTTTACTACCCCAGCCGCTGTCGAGCAATAAAATTAATTGAGCCCGCAAGAATTTCGATTTTATTGTGACGCAGCAAAAAGGGACAAACTGCGAAACGCTACACCTATGGCGATTAATTCCTCTCTAGACTGGACAAATAAATCAGTGTAAATTGATTTGCACTTTCCGCCTACCTATTTTCAGGAGCTCCTGTAAAATCAGAATTTCCACGGTAACATTGGTGATGATAAATTTTCGACGTTCGCACTAAAACCGGGATTATGTTAAGTCTGCACTTTCCCACATGAGATTACTTTCAAATATGAATGACATTTTAAGAGGATTTTTAAGTTTTTTAATTCCTGCGAGATTTTTATTTGGAAAGAAACTATAAATGTGTCTCAATCAAACAATAAAAATAATTATTACATTCAAAAACTGAGGCTACGTTGTTATTTTTTGTTTTATTTTTGTAAATCGTGAATTACGTAGATAATTATTTCAATGAGAAAAAAAATATAAATCAAAAGACACATTATTTTGCATAAACAGCAATTCATTTAAAAACAATTATCAGATTATTTATTCTGAAAATTTTTATGCTTTTTTCGTCTTCTACATTGACATTATTTTCTCACAATTTGAGGTTTTAATAAATTACAATCACTCTGGGAAGAAAATAACTGCTTTTTGGTTTCTTTACTTTCACTCCCTAAAACAAGCAGCTTTGATCGCTTGCTTTTGATCGTCAGGCGTCGCCGCTTAATTGTCGGCTTTTGACAGATAAATATCGCTCCTTTTTGGCCTGTGGCTTAATTACCAGAGGCAAACAAACCGCTCTTTGATGCAGTGATATTGATTGATGGTCGCGTTGGAGAAGGAAGGGGATTTTCCGGGGCGAAAAGCAATTAATATGAATCCTTTTAATCCGGGTGACGTTTTGATGAAGTATTATTATGAAGTTGCGAACTGAATAAAGAGAGGAGGCTGAAGGAGGCACGCAACCTGCTTAACATCAATGACGAGCAGGTTACATACTTTCAAATTAAGCAGTTACCACAAAAAAAGTATAAAAAAACATGGTATTTTAATTATTAAATATTAAACTTGAGTTTTGCAGTTAGACTAATAATAAAGTTAAAAGTTTATTATTTAAGAAAAATGTATTTGCATAACTTTGATAATATTTGTTATTTAATTTATTTATTTATAGTATTACTTTATAAAATATTTATTAATATTTTATTTTACTTTTTTTTTGCTTAGGAAAATCTTAATTCCTGAATAATTGTTAAGAACGGTTAAAGCTTTAAAAATATATTTGACTAAAATTTACAAAGTTATGTGATGTGCAAGATAGTAAATTTTGAACAAGTTAAAAATTTAATTAAGACGTGCTATTGCAATGTATTTTCTATCATCTTTGCCCAAATCGGCAAACATCAACTGTATATTAAAATACTAAAAATTATTTAAGGAAATTGAGAGTAACATTGAATTATTTCTGAAAAAGCCTTTCTAGAAAAAGCAAGATGTCTAAATTCACACAGTTCATGTAAAATTCATTAATGAGCAAATCAAAACTTAAATACAGAAGCAAGAAATTTTTTCGTTTGAAAACTTCTTTCACATTATAAGTTTAAAGCTTTCTTGTTGTAATGAATTCTGTCTGACTCTGTTATTCTTAAAAAATCAGCAAAACATATCGACTCTGAAAAACAGAAAACTTTTTATTAAGAAAACATAAAAAAAAGTATGTAAATTATTGTTATTTTTTTCTATTTGCTATTTTTAACTTACACGGACGTGGGCGCAACTGTAAATTTTCTCTGCTGCTGAATTTTCTTTTGTTATTATGGATGGTAAAAAAAACTGGTTGGAAAGTTGAATGAAACAACGTGGTCTCCATTTGAAACGTCTCATCTCCTTTTATTTCACGATTTATTTGTTCTCCATTGAAAACCCTGTCAGCAAAATGGAATGGCATTATGGGATTGTGGTACACAAAGATTTGCAAGAGAGAAGACATTTTTATTCCGATGTGTGATTTGACAAACGAACCGATTCGCCAGTTCAAAGTTTAATTCGAGTACAATCGAACAATGGGTCCAATCGACGCGCGTAACATTTCATCCCCTACAGGCAATCCAATTCCTCCTCCGATCTCGCGGGAGAACAAACAATTATTACTCTCCCGTGAGCACCCGAATCAATCTGACGCCGGTCCATAATCTCTGTTTGCGAAATTACGCGCACACACAAACTGCACACAAGCGAGCAGCTTTGATTGTTAAATTAATTCAGCCTCACGCTTTGTTAGTGGGCGAGAGTTTGCCACGCGTGTTCATTATGCGTTCGCAGTAATAATGCGGCTCCACCATTTATGCTCTCTAGACAATACACGCGCCTTTGATGAAATAATTTACGTCTTTTCACAGTATTCAATCAGCAGATATCAACATTACAGGGCTTCTGATTTCACAATGAATTTCTAGTATCAAATTTGAGATAATTTTCTACAGGTTTCTCATGAAAATGATCGCCATATAATTATTTGACTGATTGATCACCGCAGGGCTGCCAGTTACATAAAGTAATTAATTAAAAACAAAATTAATTTAATTAAATTTGAAAGCGCTCTAAAGAAGTTTAATATTGATTGATTTAAGTTGCATTCTATTATTTTATTAATGGTAATTTTACCAATTAATTGATAAGAAAGATTTTACATGACAATTAATTTATAATAAAATGTTGGGAGGGAAAAATTCTATTGTTAGGCTAGAATTTGCTAGAACTTCCACGGTAAATGTAATTTTGAGGTTAATATTACGCAATAATTTATTTTATTTTATTCTTTCTACTTATTAATGTAATTTGAATGAACATTCGTTTGCATTTTCATCTATTTTAGAATGTATGATTATTTGAAGAAAATATGAGAAGCATCAATCCAATTATGAGCATTGAAAAATTAAAATAAAAGTTTTGATTTTTTGAGAAGATAAAACAAAAAACAAACCACTTCGAACGCGAAATAATTAAATTAGCCATAAGCTACGTATTTAAAAATTAATATTTAAAAAATGAAAATAATTAATATTAAAAATTATATTTTAAATATAGAGTAAAAGTAAATTTAATTAACTACAATATACAAGTTTAAATATTAAAACGAAATTTAATTAAAAAGGAGGAAAAACAAGCCTGTCAATATTATTGTAATTAAATCGTTTGTTTGAAATCGAGCAAAATATTGGTGTAACTTTTTGTAATCAATAACAATTTTTTATTATCATTGTCATTTCAAGTTTATTTATTCCCTCCGTAAATTCACTATTATTCTTAGATAAATAAAATGTAAATAAATTAAAATTTATTATTATTTCATCAATTTTGTTTGGCATTAATTACCTTATCTAACTGGCTACCAGGTGAATGTATACGGCTTTCATTTTCTGGGCTTGGCAGTTGGGCAATTTTAATTTTCTGCCTACTGCTGGAAAAAGTTGTAAATTTTTCCACTGTTCTACACATGCCTCTCGACACAAACGGTGTTTACACTTGAAAAGGTTCCCCGACGCACACACAGAGCGAATCGTGCATGTTTGTTTAGTTTGTGTGTTTGCGTTCAACGTAATTTAACAACTCGCTTGCATGTCGGCCTGCAGGGGAGAGACACGACTGAAAAAAACCTCTGTCAAAATCAGCGCACCCGGCAATTTTTCATGCCAAAATTATTCCACTGTCAATCTGCCGGCTTGACATTTTCTAATTAAAACGATTCTCACCGAAATTCGGACATTCATTCAAATGTGGACACAAATTCACATTGATTAAATTTTACTGCGGAAACGGTTAAAATGATAACAATTAATATATTTATAGGAGGAGAGGAAGATTCTGTTGTGCGGATTCGGCCGAATGGGCTCAGTGGATTCGGTCGAGCCGGACAACGGTTGTGAGCGTCGGATTGTCCATTTTTAGGAAACACGATAAAATTCGGAAACATTTCAACACGGGAATTATAATTACTACAATATACACTTGTTCACAGTTAATTATAGTTTGTTATAGTCGGTGAATTAAAATCAATTAAGTAGTCCATTCTTCTTCTTTGGGACACACGCAGTACTTTTAAAAAATATCACAGACCTTAGATTACCTTCCATTCTTTGTTGAATATTGTGTGAGTAATAATGTTATTAATTAATTGAGTAAGACTTGCTGATTGGTCTCTCTAATTAGTAAAATCCGATTATTCGTAAGTGAGATCAATTACCCTGGTCAGGTGGTGGAAGATTGTCTAAGGAGTGTGGCTCGATCAACAACGTACACATTTTTATATAATTTACATATCACATTCAGCAGTTTCGTCTGAAAAAACTTCTTTGCACTTTTCCCTTTATTTCTTTTTCCGTCTCCGTCGCGTGCGAAGGGTGAATTTGTTTGCTTGTTTATTACTTGGAATAATAAGAACACAAAAGTTTGCTCTAGCGCATGTACACAGTGAGTACAAATTTCTCTTTCTATTTACGTTTGATCAGAAGAACAATAGTTAGTTTTTTTTAACGGCGATGTTGTTTGTATTCGACTCTGCTAAAAAAAAAAAACAGAGCGTCGCAATCTCCAGACAAAAAGAAAAAATGCCAGAGAGAAGTCCACATTTTAATCATTTTACAGTAGAACAATTTTTAATTTGATCTTTAAACAGACAAATTTTCATTATTATTTTCTTTTTTTTTAATTTTTATATTAAATACCTCAATTTTTTATTATTGATTGATTTGATTCATTGTTAATCAATTTTACTCCAAAAGGTTCGTTTCTTAGTTTCAACTTGTAATTTCCTCACAGATTCATCAATGATTAATCTAATTGTAAAATTTGAAAGAAAACTAAATTTTAAATCGGCGATTGGAAAATTCAATGAAAAATTCAATTGCAAGGCATGAAAAAGGACATGCTGAAGAGTTCTTTTAAATAAACAGTGAAGTGAAAGTTTTATTATTCCACAAGAATTAGATAAGATTTTTAAATGAGATTTTAAATTTTTTAGTCAAATTTGAACTGTTCTCAATATAAAATTCCTTCCTATATAATGAAACAATTTTATTTAAAATCCACTGATTGTGAGAACACCTAAAGATTTTTTAAATTTACCACAAATATTTAAAATTTAAACAACAATTTTTTTTTATCATAATTTTCTAAAAAAAATCTACTATTTCTTTTTGATATCGAATTAGAATCGATTTTTTTTAACCAAGTAAGCCACCCTTCGCACCAAAAGTGAGAAATTTGTTGATATTTTATGATAATTTACCGCACCTTGATTACACCGAGATTTCGTTTGTGAAGTGCGTCTTGTCGTCGAGCGTGATGGAGCTGTTGGCGATTCGCGTGAGGCTGCGGTTGAGCGCGGCCGACTCGACGCTCATGTCCAGGCCGGGCGTGCCGAGGTCGTCGAGGTCATCGGTGTCCGGGACGCTGTCCACCCGACTCATGGCGGCGCACACGATCTTGTCCGTCACCGCGGCTATCACATTGTTCAGACTGTGGCCGTCGCGCGTCTCGAGCGGACTCTCGTCGTCGTCCTCGTCCTCCACCTCGCCGATCACCCGCTGGATGGCCGCGATTTTGCACAACACGCGTCGGTTTGTGCCCATCTTGACGTGCCGCTGACGCAGCAACTCCAGCTGAGAACTCAACCTGTCCAGCTCCAACTGAAACAAGAGTTGAAAACGTGTTTATTTTTTTTTTTTTATCTAAAAAAAGTATTATTTTGATCATAAATTATAACAAATAAAGCACTTTTTTCCAAATTATTGTTTATATATATTAAATATTTAAATCAGAAAGATCAACGTCAAAAGGAAGAGCAATTAATAATTTTCATGGATTTGAATCTAATTATTTTTGGTCACTTAGTATTAAATAATATTATTTTTTGTTATATTTAAAATATTACTTACATCAACACACGATTAATAAGTTTTTTCTTATATAAAAGCTGATAAAAGCAATTTAATTAATAACTAGTTCAGACTTATAATTATAAATATAAATAATTACTGTGAGAAATTAACAATTATAAATGAAAATGAATAAGTTCAATAAGGAGGCCACCTTTCCTGAGTCGTAAAAGAAAAACAGTAGGCTATGTCTAAGATAACAAAGACTAGTTTAAAATAAATAGCGACAAAGTGCTGACGACATGAACAGGTCCGTAATGATGGCAAAAAAGAAAACAAAACAAACAAAAAGCCATATTAATAATAAACAATATCAATTTCAAAACTATTTATTTTGTATGATCTGTCTTTGTATTTTTTGATGTAATTTCTCTCTCTTGTAATCAATGTAATTTATAATATTGAATGTATGGATGAAGTATTTGGGCAGAGAATGCCCGGTGGTACATTAATAAACACAATTTGTAACTATAATTCAGATAGCGCCCTGAAACTTCCTGCACACTACTTTGATTTCTAATCCTTAAGAAAGCGTTAAAATGCATCATTAACTTTCTTTGAGTATAAAAAAAGAGTGGTTTGAATAAAAAAACCAATAAAATTAATAAAAAAAAATCACAATATGATTTCTAATTCATGACTGTTGGATTATTCGAAGCTTCAACTAGCAACTTCCATCAAACTATATTGATTTCCAATCCGTATGAAAGCGTTAAAATGCATTAAGTTTTGTCTAAAATGTAGGAACAAACTTATTATAAAAATCAGCATGTGGCATCTTTATTAGATCTCTTATAAAAAATTTCAAAGTTTGCCTAATGTTCGAAAATTTAAATTGAGAGATTTTTAGAAAATTTTGGAATGAATCCAAAAAAAATATGTATATAAATTTGTCTACAATATTGCAGATGCGTAATTTATCTCTAAATAAAATTTTGATCATCAGCAAAAAAGGTTCCTCCATCTAATTGCAATTATATCAGTTTAAAAAGCAAATTATTTTTTCCTCTCTTAACGAAAAAGGTAATTATTTGCATAATTAAATTTGATAGCGACCTCTGCTAAATCCGTGTATATGTTTGTGAGATTTGCTGGCTGCTGCCTAATCCCTGTTAAATTCACTATAGCACACACGTCCGTCCGTTACGACCGCATGTGTTAAACACACACACGACTGACCGTGCTTCCATTCATTACAGTTGGCGGAACGTTTACATAGTTTTACTCTGCGAGTCGCTTTGAATGCACCTCGAGTTCTCTTTCACCGCTCGCAATTATGCAAATAATGAGCGAACGTTTTCACTGCCACGGCGATAAACGTGTGTCTTTGATCGCAAAGAGCGTCTGTGGTCATTAAGCACACGACTTTGCACTACGAAACGTCTTTTTCTCTCTTGCTCGCGGGAAAATTACGGCCCAGAGAGAGCATTGATCATTTTTATTGAGCTCTATTTCACGCCGGAAAGAGGGATTACATCTATTACGCAGACGTTTTCCTCGGCGGGGGCGCGCCTGTTATTAATTATTTTTAATGGTGTTGCCCGCGCGCAGATGCCCTAGATCAACAAGCACACTGAAATATTATTTTATCTAGGTCGGAAGCTTTATTTACGTGGGAATGTTCATTACGGAATTAATTAAAATATAATTATAAATCTGTAAAATCAAATTCTGTTATGATGAGTATGAATATGTTGCGGTGAGTTTCAACTTTCACATTTAAACAAACAATTTTAATACACATAACAGCCCATGTTCATATCAATCGACTCTTGCTTGTCTTATTTATCGGTATTCTTTTTTTTTAATACTATGATTAATTTTGCTGTGTATTTCCTATTGAATTTCAATAAATTATTTACTCCATTCAAAACCAAAGTTATCGTCTTCAATGCAATGGACAAGAATCTTAAAATCTGTATATTGCAATGTATTGTGTGGGCTTGGAATTTATAAGTAACAAAATTAAAAAAATATTTTATTGCTTAAAATCTTTAACATAAAATTAAAAAAAAAATAATATATAACAAAAAAATAATTGGTTATTAGTTTTAAAAATGTTTTAACAAGTTTTAAAAATTCAGTTTATTATATTTCCTAACCGTAATAACAATATTGACTAAATAAAAATGTTTTTATTAACTTTTAAACTTAATTCTTGTTGTACATTCATATTCTTAAATTTAATCCCTCTGTATTAAAAGAAAATTATTTGACCGCAGTTGAAAATATTTCAGAGACCTAAAATATTATTCTTAACTTCCAAAAGAATTTTTTCTCACAAAAGGATAAAATTCAACAGTTAAATAATTCCATAAATAGTTCAATTCAAGTAAAAAATTTGTTACATTATTTGTTTCTTTATTTTTCATTAAATGGTCCAAATATTTAATTAATGCATTTTTTTTTTAGTCTATGATCTTACGAGGAAACTATTTACCCAATAGTTTTTTCGGGTATTTATTTTATTAAGTATCAAATGGTTTTTTTTTAATTTAACAAAATTTGGCAGTGATCTTTGCAGTAAAACGACGCTACTGAATCAAATCTTGAAACGAATTGGCTCGTTTTTGGTCCACGAACATTCCTTAAGATGGCTGATGCTACTCATTGCAAAAGATATTCTTTCCTCGCACCGCGGCGTCTTTTGCCGCGGCTCAATGTGAGTTATTAAAGCTTCATTACTCTCGGTATGGTCGGGGCGCCCTAAGGAAGGAGGATCTAACGGAGATCCGATAATAAATTCCACTCATTTCCTGCACTTTTCTCCGTCTCCCGCAGTGCTAGATTAAACTCGACCGTGCACTTCTTTCACGCAAACTTTGCTCTCCATTGCAAGTTGCAAGATATAAAGTAAATAAATAAAATTCCTCGTCGACTAACTGAAAAGATGTGTAATGAATCTAGACTGATGAAAAAGTCTTCTTGTTTTAAGTTTTCAAGGAAGAGTTTTAAATGAAATAATATAGAATAAAATGAAATCATTTGGAGAATAAAAAAAAATACTTTAAATATTGGCAAACAATATTATTATTGTGTTTTGTTTTGTCCGCATCGCTAAATAAATTGATGACATTCAATTGTTTAGAAATTTATTTAAAAAAGGAATTGTTGGACAAAACGGCAAAAATTTTGCTAAGACTTCCGAGATCAAAAAGACCCCTTCAGCCGCGCCTTGCTTGATATCAGCAAAAATGTCTTAAAATTAAAAAATAATTCTAAAAATCTGAAAATATTTTCTTAAAATATTCGCTTTTCAGGGAAGAGCACAAAAATGTATCTATAAGTTTCAAATTCCGCAAAAGCCTGTTATCAGATTGAATATCCGAGCAAATGAAATATAACAAAATTGATTTTATTTGCCATTCTAGTAATGCAATCGAGACCGTTTTTCTCTCGTCCATTTCTTATTGATGAAAAAAAAATAACAAATGTGTTCCATCTAGACATATTGATTCGCGAGACGAATGGGAATGCGTGTCGTGCCGCGCCAGCACGGATATGCGCCGGAATGCTTATTGAAAGGGTTAAGCTCTTTGTTATCCGGCAAAAAAGCTTTCTCGAGATGAGAAACTCCCGCGGCGGGGGTGACAAACTCGCGCGCCCCGTGATTATGATGTCTTTCTTCCCGTCGCAAGAGCTGGGACGGAGATAATGCACGCGGCCAGCAGCAGCTCTGGCGCTTCGTCCCAGTGAAATGATGCGCGAAATTCACTTGCGCCTCGCAGCGAGCACTCTTTGTGTTTTTCACTCGCCCAAAAGAGATAAATTTTTATGTACGTCGAATCGCAAGCGGAGTGGAAAGAGCACCGCTTTTCAGAAAATTAAATTGCAAAGATATAATAAAATTGAATTTTTATTGTCTTTCCGACCTGTTTTCCGCCTCGGTTCTGTCGAAACGTCAAATCATACATTTCAGAGCAAGAAGTTTAAATATTTTTTACGCATTTGCAAAATGACGCATGTGTTATTTGATTTGGAAATGGAATCATGCAGAAAACAATTCCACGAAAAGCAATCTTCGCTCTTATTTGCCAATAGCAAAATATTATCAACGCAGTGGGCGTTGTGGTAGGCAATTTGCAGCACACCAAAGAAGCGCTTGTTGCCTATGCCACTTAATGTTTGTTTGATTATTACGTTTGTCAAGAGTGTGAATTTCAATCAAGTGATTGGAAAGTTTGGGTAAAATCATAGTATTGCTCTAATTAAGTTATAAAGGTATGATTAAGTTGATTAATATAAGAAAATAATAATAATATAATCTCTAACAATAAGTTAGGCTTGATTAACGTCTCAATAGTAAGGACGATTTTATTCAAGCAAACGATTCTTATCACAAGTTTTTAACAAAACTTTGTTCTTAGATAACATTTTGGCTGAAAGTTGGAAAAACTTTCCTTTATTTTAAATTTTAATTACATGAATAAAATTTTATGCAATATTAAAGGTGGTTTTTCCAAAATTCATTTTTTTCATATACAAAAAAAGGACTTTAATCAGAGTTAAATGTTTTCCTTGATAACTATTACACATGAATTTTAGGAAAAATTTATGATTAACGTTTTATTTTATTTTATACAATTCAAAAAAACTTTTCCTAAACAATTTTTCAAAAAAGTGTGCATTTTCCCAGTCTCATTAATTCAAATTTTCTTTCATCAAACATGCGCTGTTGCAAAAAAAAGGTTTTTATGGTGAGCGAGTTAGACACGGCAGCGTATTATTGAGTGTCCACTATTGCTGTATCCACTTTTTCGCATCCTCTCTCCTACGCACTCCATCCATCACGCACATATTTTTCTTTGACACCTGACGCGGAGAATTTCAATATTGACGTGCGCTCGTGCGAATCCAGCGCAAAAAACATTTTCCGCTCGCAGCTCTTTTTGACGAAAGCGGCTTGACTCGAACGCACACACGCACCCTTATTCACACCCCCCACCCTCCAGTGAAATATATATTCGCGGCGACACAAAGACGACGAATTTTCTCGGCAAACAGAGATCACTGCGCCTTTGACACGAGAAAATAAGATTACCTTTGAACTCACGCCGTCTTGAACTGCTTTGAATTAAAATTCCACTCCCGCGCACAAAATGCAAAATTCCCGTCAAACAAATGGAATTATTCACATATTGTAATGCAAAACGCGCGGTGCTTCTCTAAACATGAATGTTAAATGCTAAAATTTTGTGAGCTCGGCGTTTTCTAAAACAAACATGCCGTAACTAATTCGACTAACATTTGCAAGGAGGAAAATTTAATATTCAATGTGAAAGCAAGAAAGGAATATTTATGCTTTAAAGCATCATTGTTTGCGGTTGTTTCATCAAAAATTTTAATGAATTAAACATTCCATTCAAACGAACGAACGAGATGTTTTCAATGAAATTTGATTTCAATTTTCAAACAATTGTAAACATACACTAAATGAAAGTTTTGCAAATTTCGTCATTCTCATTCAAAATATTTTAGACAGTTCATAATTTTTATTTGTGGAATAGTGGAATTTAAAAATTAAGAATAAAAAAAACTTTTTTTGTATATTTTAAATCTGAAATATTGAGAATTTGTGAAGTAACTCGGAATATTGTTACTTTTCAACAACATTTAGATTTAATTTCATTTTAAAATTCAAGCAAAAGATTGAATTAAAAGAAAATAACTTTTTATTTAAGTTGTTTAAGCAGATCAATGTCCATAAATATTTTGATAATTTAATTTCGAAAATGTATTGTTACCCTCGCAAAATACGGCAAAATAATTGTTTTTCTTTCAATGCAATTTCAATGTAAAACTTTGTTTAGCTATTTGGACAAAATGACGTCAACTTTTAAGCCTGAAGTTATTTATGAAACACATTTTAAATGTGAACAAATATTTGGTCCACTAAATAGTTTGCAAATAACCTCGATTTAGAGCAATTTGATTATAAAAATCACTTGACCGTGATTGATTTCTGAAAACAATTGAAATAATATACCAATTATATAGGAAAATATGTATGAAAGACTCACGCTTGGGTCTCCATTGAGCTCGAGCGGCGGCAGGGCTGCGCTTGATGGCGTGTTGGAATAGGCCTGTGGCGTGGCCCCGCCGTACATGGTCCTGTTGGGCGAACCGCGAGGCGAGTGTCGCGACCCCGCAGTCAGGAACTTGATGGCCGTTTGCGCCGGTTTCGTCCCGTACGAGCCAGCGCCGTGCTCCTCTATTTTGCCCTGGCCTTTGTACACCATGTACGCCTGAAACATAAATAAAAAAATTTTAATTAGTAATAATTGTAAAAATTTTATTTTTATAAAGCAATTTTAAAACTTTTTTGTTATATTTACAAACATTATTTTAAATGTAATTATTAATTATTAAACTATTTTTTAAATAAAAAAGGTGTTTTATTACAGAATGAAAAAGATGAGGAAGAATAATACTTAAAAAGTTAATTAATCCATTATTTAACAAATAATTTCTCTTCCTTTATCTGATTTATCTAATAGATGATCTAAAAATGTCAAATTTAATTAGAATCTGGCTCGCATGCGTATTGGTATTTTGCAAAAATTACATGAATTGAAATTTAGGCAGTTTTGGGATGCGATTAAAAATGACTTCTAAAATATCCTACATTGATTTTATTTTCATTGACCCTAATGATCTTATAAGGATTTCAAACCTTTGCAACTAGAATCGAAGTCGAAAAAACTGAGTATGTTTAAAAACAGAAATGCAAAATTCTCCCTGCAATTAATTTAATTTTTTTGGGCGCTTCCATACACATTTGACATTTTCCCAAAAAACCACTCTATAATCATTAAAACCTCATCATGCACGGATGCGGAAAAATCCAGTGACAATTTCTCTTCACACTGACAAACCGGGACGTTTTTTTTTTCTCTGTGCGTTCAGTTCACACTCTTTCACACACGCAAACAGAATTTCCGCGATGCTCGGCGCGTCAGCCAGCTGAATTTAAAATGAGCCTCTCCGCCCGAGGACACGAAATAATAAAGGGCTGAGAGAGCAGGCGGCAGAGAGGCGCATAATAAACCCGCACCATGTGCCCTCTTTTTTTTTTGCTCTTTTTGCATCCGGGCCGGCTTTTTTAAAATCAAACCAAACAAAGGCCGACCGACAATTTGCGCAAATGCGAGTCGATTGAAATTTCCAATGCATATATAAAGAGAGTTATCCGGTGTGACGAGAGGATGATTGATGAGTCTAAATATATAATAAAAGCGGCTAGCGTGTGTTTTCCTTCATCAGCGAGTGACCCTCCCGCCTAATGCTTTGTTGTCGAATCGATAAAATGGTCGGCGGCAGGCCCCCCATTAAAAGCGGCTGCTAATGCGTTCGCCTCGAGCAGCACCTTGGAGCCTCAATAATGCATGCAGCATCCGCAAGAAATATCATGGACCGACCGACCGTCTTTATGTATATTTGCCTAAACCCGAGATAAAAAAGAATGTCTGCAGAGAGGATATAAAAAATGCCCATCTCTTTATCGATTCGGTTTCGGTGGAGGGAAGGGTGGATTCTTTTTGCGAGGAATTCCGCTAATTACAAGTGAAGAGACGTCGCTCTTGAATTTCATATACCAGCGCAACAAATACCACATACCTTTCTGACCCTTGAAAACGAAACTCCGGCCTTCTAGAAAAATCGGACGCGGAGGAATTCAAGAGAAGAAAGTCGGTTTCGAAATTGATTGAATTTCTGTATAAAGGATTTTTTTTTCAATTTTTATCTCCTTACATTTGAAAATGATTTGCTTTTGCAATACTGAATTAATCCTTCTGACCCAGAATAAGAAGATTTGTATAGCAATTGTGATGGGATTGAATAAATTGGCATTTGAATAGGGAATCGTGATGAAAAGTTTGAATGAATGAATGATTTATTCTATTCTTGACTTATTATGAAATCATAATTTAGATTATTTGCATTTTTTTTACACCAAAATGATTTTGTATTTTGACATATTTCCCTCAGTTGTGCTCAAAATGCTGATTATTTGTTTAAACGTTGAAACCAAATAAATAAGTAAATTGTTTGATTGAAAATCCAGGTTGATTTGTTTAGCCCAACAGCTGCAGCCTCATTTCTTGAGAAATGCCTTGTTCAAATATTACACAAATGGCAAAAAAATAAACTTAAAAATAGTACTGCGCAGTTGGGTAGTCAAATCGAGCTGTTCTTTTCTCTCTCTCCATTTAAAATATTTTATTCCACAAAGAATGCCCGGTTAAACATTTTATCACAAGAGAGAAAGAGCGAAAAGGCAGTGCTTTGAATGAAAAACCAGCCCTTTTCAAATTTCGACTCTAATAAGCAAACATTGTTTGTTTTATGAAATTGAATGCAGGCATCGTCCAATGCTTTCTTCAGCAAAACCAAATGTAAATAATTTTGTTTACTGTTGCGTTATTCTTCACAATATAATATACATATGGAAAATGGCTCTAACAAATCAAAATTTAAATCCAATTCATCTGCATATGACAATTTTGTTAATTATTCAACATTTGGACTGAGAGTCTTGAAAAAATTTAAAAAAAAAATTTACACTATTTTTCTAGCGTGGAAGAAATCAATTTGGGCAAATTGCATCATATATCAATTTGAAATTTGATGTTGAATTGAAGAACTGGGAATTTTCATTTTAAAGCAATGTTTTTATTATATATGTAAATAAATAAAGCTTGGCCAGTTGGTTTTTAAAAATAATTTAGAAAGAGAAATAATGGGCTTCCTTTCAAAAGAAATTCAATTATATTACTTAGTTTACTGAATAATCACAAAATAATACTTTAATTACTCTCCAATTTAAAATAATTACCGTTCACTTAAATTCTTGGTTCAAATTAATCAAAAACTATCTTGAAATTAATAAGGAACAATTAAGAAGTTGTTTTTGTACTTTGTATAGTTTGAAATTGAATCCTTATACAAGTGAAAAAGGCAAACGTTCGATCTCAATTTGAGCATCACGAAAATCGAACTGGATGCGCTTCAACTTTCAACAGGCGCACACCTTGATTTATGCGAGCTCTCGTTCGCCAACAGCGAGGGAAGCACTGCGGGCGAGAAACATGATGTAAGTTGTAAAAAGTTGGGAGTCATAAAACCGGTATTGGCACATGAGAGTGCGGCTGCCTTTCGACTTACCAACCAACCAACTCACCCTAACAGCAATACTTTCTTTCCCGCTCGCTTTTCCGGGCTTTTCCCTTTCGAACTGTGACGTGATTAAGCGAGCGAGCGGCTGCGAAGCCGCCAGCGCCATTAAAGCCACCTACCTTGCTAACCCTCTCGCCCATAAGCGAGCTTTATCGGCTGCAACGAAAGCAAAGTCGCACGGCCGAAAAATCATAAAATATTTGCTGGTCAAACTTACTCTAACTCGACGGTTGAAAGGGCCTGACAAGGTAAAGACTAAAAGCTCGTGTGGCCCGGCAGCAGCATTATTTTCCCCTTTGTTCCTTTTTGTATGGAGCTCGCGAGCTTAGCCTCGGGATAATTCCCAACAGACAAAAGGAACACTTTTAAAACTCACTCGCGGGCTCGTAAATATTTTCAACTTTTTTATTAATACGAAAAACTAATTTAGAGCTTTTTGAAAGGAAGAGTTAAAATATTGAGTTAAAAAGCTAATGCGCGTAGAGTGGATTTATTATGCATTAATAAAAAGAATAAAAAATCACGAAAATCCGGGTCTTTTTAACCGGAGCTAGTTTTAGCTGCAAAAATATTCAAAAAGTAGCTCTTTGTTTAAATTGAGATGATAAAACAAAATAGATAGACACATTAAATATTTATAATATCACTTATGACGACACAATAAAAGCAAAGGAATAATAATTATTGATTTCTCACCATAAAAAGAGCCACGCTTATCGTTTTTCTTTTAATGACACATAATTATAGGGGAAGTGATGATCTTTCTTTTTTATTACATTTATTTTGAATCCTTATCTACACTTTTGTGGGAGGGGGAAGTCTTGAACCTAATTTCTAGAAATTTCTCTATAATATTATAAATTAATAATAATTTAATATTATTTTAAAATTCTTTTACGCAGAGGCATTATAATTAATATATAACTTCTTCGATCCACTTTTGTTATGATTTTTCATTAACAATGACATAAAAAAACTTCTGATAAATGTGCAACAAACTTTTCGTCTGAATCAATAAACCCCTTTTAGCAGAAGTTAGGATATTTTGAGCTGTTATACACATTTCTAGAGAGGAGAGTGTTTTTATATGTTTCTTTGAGCGAATACCAATTTTTCCCAAAACTTTCATTTTTCCCCTTTCCCTAAAAGGGACCAACACGGAAAAAATATTTGTCAAAGTCATCACTTCATCAGCCCCCAGAAGTAAAAGGACGCGATGATGATATCCTGCAGTTTCGCCAGTAATGGAAAAGTTTTACTAAATTGCCTCGGAGAATCGTACGTACGGGACGAGCGAATCTTGTTCTCACGTTTTCAGAAAGGAAAACATCTATTGGAGAGAGGGAGATGTTTTTCTTCCCGGCCAGAAAATATACTGAAAATACTCACTGGGCCATCACGTAGAGCGCGTGTCACTTTTTCCCGGTGCCAGCAGCATCTGTTCAGGATGTGTGCGTCGCTCTCATTTTCTCTCGTGTCGTTCCGGACCAAGTGCAAAATAAGTTGCGACAGCCGAAAAGCGAGCGACATATGGTCCAACAGTCCATTCGCAATGAACGAACAAAAACATGGAAATTCCGGTATTTCGATTCCATGACGGAGTGAACAGAACATTTTGGCGTGACATCGGGTGAAGTCAGCTCACGATTCATATGAAAAAGTGGAAATTGAAATGCGAGACTTGAGAGCAAAAATCTTGAATACGTCTCTGACTTTTTCAGCAAATCATTTTCCAAGATGGTATTTTTAAGAGCGATATATTTCCAAATTTTAAAGACAATTTTAATTTACACAATTTGCTATATGTATCGATTTTCAAGGACGAAAATGATTCATTAAAAGTTGAAAAAGTTCCTAAAAAAATCATCATTTGATCCAATTGTAAGTTAAAAATCTAAAAGCTGAAAAGTAAACATTAAAATTTATGGTCGAAAATTAATCCAGATATTTAAGAAAGTTCAAAATTAGTCCAAAAATATTGAAAAAGTATAAATAGGTTTTTTTTACCTAATATTAGATAGAATAAAAATAACACAATTTGCAAAAATCCACTTTCAGAAGAAATTTTGGAGCGATAAAAAAATCTAACAAAGATTTTCCACTGTACGTCAATACCAGCCAACTCTTGTAAATTAAATTCAAAGGCAGTAAGAGAAACATTGTACAAAAATTACATTCCACCAAATTGGTTTGGAAAATTTCATTTCAGGTAACCGGAGTGCTTTTATTCCAAAGCAATAGCAAAGTAAGTTAGATTGCATTTTATAGGAAGATTCACTGACCTAAAAAATGTATACGACACCGACAGCTCTCTGTGGCTTTTTTTCATCTCCGCCTTCTTTCTCACCGAAGAAAACTAAACCAATTTTGAAATATATATTTTCCACTTGAAATGAAATTATCAATCAAGCTTTTCCTTGTTCAAACAACAAGATAAGTCTTATTACTTTTTTTTCAACTGCAATTATTAAAGTATAATGAAGTAAATTTTTTTCCAATAATCCTCGGCAAATCAACGAAGAAAGTATTGGGAAAATTCATAAGCGCTCAGCTTTTTCAAAAATACACACACCGTAAAAAATAAATAAATAAATAAATTATATAAATAATGAGAAAAGTTGGTTCGACAGCTCAGAGAATTTAAAAGTTTGGAACAGAATAATCCGACTAAAGACCAGGCGAATTAGCCGCCCACGTAAGCGTGAGTCTGAATGTGCCGAATAAATTTGCAGCGGCACGCAGCAGTCTCGGAAATAAAAAGGACAAAAAGAGACTTTCTTGGGTCGAGCATCTCGAGCTCTTCCTCCCACTGTCAGGGGGCGAGTGTCTCTTAAGAAGTTCTTTAAACTGTACAAGGCATTGTGTATAAAAAGTAATGACTTCTCGCTGTGTGTGCGCGAGAGCAGTTTGTCATTTGGGCAAGAAATAGCCGGCGCGAAATTCGTCCGGCAATAAAATTTACTACCGTCGTAATTCTCGGCGTGAATTAGAAGCAATTTGGAAGAGATTTGGCGTCGGAATGGTGTGTGTGCCTAATGGGACACCGTTTTTCGTCGGCTTGGTTTTAAACTGCGCTTTGAGGCGTTTTTTTTTCTCCGGCGGAATAGAAGATTTACGGCGAGGATTCATTCCAACCCTGTTGCTTTTAGGCAAATCACACGCTGGATGCGGATTCGGTGGAATTAAACTTTTGAGAGGCCATAAAAGTAATTGGCTGGAATGAAGGTACGAAAGCGATTCTTTAATTTTGGGGAAATTGCAAAGTGAACTGGAAGACGTTCCTTTTTTTCTGGGGCGACGAAAGCAAAAGCACTTTGATATTAAAGCCTTACTTTTGAAGAATCGCAGAATTTTACAATTAAACTCTTTTATTTATTTCAATAATATATGCAATTATTTGTCACTGTGAAACATATTTATAGCTTTGAGTAAATAATTTTCATTTGAATCCATAATATTATGCGTTTCCTCTCTCTGAAACCACTTATTGTTCTTTTGTCACAATTTAGGGCAAAGATTGCCTTGTGGTAAACCATGAATAAGTTAAATTTGAATTTAATTTGGAACTACACATATTTAAAAACGATAGAATTTGGTATTCATTCTAATTCAAAATGTCGAGGGTTAAAATAACCTTTGTTTTAAAGAAAATTTAGACTTTCAGTTTCTAGATAAAGCAGGTTTAAAAATTTTCAAGTACATAATTTATTTTATTTCTTACTGTTTGCCAATGGTTTGAAAAAAAATCCAATTAAAAACCTCAAAGCCAGCAGTGCAAAAAAAAAAGTAAAAATAAAAACTCATTTAAAAAAAATATATTTAACTATAATTTGATTGGGTTATTATTAAAAAGAATTTAACAAAAATAAAATCAACAAACCTCAATTTTAAACTAAAATCTTGCTATTACTAAGACCCGAGGTTGCCACTTCAACTTTTAAATCTCAAGTATATAAGCCTAGGAAATTAAACTGAACATAATTACTGAGTAACAATAAAGATAGAGATTGTTCCGTTTGGCCTTCAGTACAATTAAGCACCATCACGAGAGGATTGCTGTGCTTTAAAAATAAATAAAAGTCAGCAGAGTTGTTTATCAAATTAAAATCAGGGACGGCCACGGCCAACATTCTCTGAAACTGAATTCTCTCCACGCTCCTCTCTCGGCCAAACAAATTGGAGGATCATCCAGTTAAATTAATTGAAGCTGCAAACCACGAGTTTGCAGCTTGGCGATTTTCATTAAAACGCGATCGAATAACTTCCCTGAACTTAATCCCCTGCACTGATAAACGAATCTCCAGTTAAATTTCCCTCTCAGGGGGAGTAAATAAAATAATATTATCCGGTTTAATTATAAACCCCAGGCCGAGTTTATAATTGTTTACTTCAACCTCAGTACTAAAAGTATTTTTACCAATTAATTAGCTGCCCTTTTTAGAAGAAAGGTTTCAATGTTTGTTTATAAACTGAGAGTGCACTTTTCAGAGTGAACTGCATGCTAATTGATCTCTCAGAGCAAACTAATTAATTGGAGTCTCGAAGCCCCTGCAGGAAAAGTTTTTGTTTCCCGATGGCTCTTGTTTCAACGTTTTATATTCAGGAGGGAGAATGGAATCGGAATGATTATAAAAAGCTCCGATATCGGTTGTCAGAGTAAAAGGGGGAAAACTTCTTTTGCGCGTTATCTTTTGTGTCCGCTACCCTAATATCATCGTTAATCAAAACTTGGCAAGTATAAATGACGAGAAAAAAAATATGAAATTCCCTTTCCGCGGTCAATTCCTGATAGGAAAAAGTCCAGGCGAATTTTTTTTCCTCCCCAATTTTATACTGTAAAATATTACACCTAAGGGTTGTTTAAGTGGGGAACGGTGTCGGGTCCGACATCGAAAAACTCTCCTGCCCAATTTGGCGATCGGTGCAGCCTGAGAGCAAGTGACACTTTTTACTTTCAGCCGACACATTTTCCCCCCAGGAAAAAACACACATATTTGAGAGGGTCGACTTTTTTCCCTTCACTTACTTTGCTGCCGAAGATGAAGCAGAGCAGCATGGTCACCGTCAGCTGCGTGTGCGAGAAAAATATCACGTAAAGGAGGTCAGGGTTGGCCGGTGACTGCAGGAACAGCCTGTGAACAGAAAACTCTTCTTGTAGAGAAAAAAATCTACAGTTTGCAGGGACATAAAGAACATATTGCCGGTTCAGTGTCCTTCGATATTAGAAATAGAATTACATGTGTCGTTTAAGGGCAGTTTTATTAAGTTTCCAATTGAAAGAAGAAAATTAGAAAAATGATTAAATGGACATAAGTTTATGATCTGCATTATTTGTACTTAAAAAACAATAATATTTATAAGGGAGCAGCAAATAATATTTAAAAATTATTTTAAAAACAATTAAAAAATTCATTCCTTGAAGTTTTGACAAAATTTGTACTAATTAATGTCAATCATATAAAGTTGTGTGTAAAAACGCTCCAGGGATTTATAGAAAGTCTCAAAATAGCATTAAAAATTTAAAGTATTGTTGTTTGAAATTCTGTTTCCTCAAGAGTCCAAAATTCTCGAATTACAATGAAATATTTTTTTCAAATAATGATGTTGAGAATAAACTAAAATGACTTTCTTTCCCAGAAATGTGTTCCTATGATTTAATGGGTACCATCATAATGTCCTAAAGATAATGTCCTAAAAGCTATGATCGCACATTGTCCTAAAGATTTTGTCCTAATTGAATTTAAAGAAAATGTCCTAAATTTCGGAAAATTGGTTGATATATTATAAAAGTTTAGTTTTTTCAACAGGGACTAACATGAACTTCATTCCTTATCAAATGAATTCACTTATGCAGAAAGAATATGATGCTAATTGTCGAGCTTCTCTGTCACATTTCTAACGAAAGTTGATCATATAATTCAAAATATTAAAGTGTATATAAGTTTGAAACAATCATATTATATTCCACAAATACAAATAATTTAAAAAAATAATATTATTACTATAACGTATATTGAAAATAAATTTAACGAATATTTTCAATTAGAATTTTTCAAATTTTTTGTCTTGAAAAAAAAATTCGAATGATATTTCTAAGTAAACTTTTTCATAGGAAACAAAAATACATTTTCCTGAAGATTTTTACGAAATTCTTTGAAACTATTGTAGGGAAGAAAGATTAATAGTTATATTTCTCAACTACCCGTGTTAGGACATTGTCTTTAGGACATTGTGAGGCACCCCGATTTAATACACTTTTTTTTCATATGAACATAAAAGGCATAAAATATATTTTCTATGATAAAAGTGGCACAAATGGAAACATCATTCGTGCATGTAATTCCATTTGTGTGTCACAAATCAATACCTGGCGGAAAATTTGTCGGACACCGTTGCGCGCAATTAATTAAACAGACTTTTCTCACACGTGACAGTGTGACAGTCTCGCGTTTTTTGCATTCAAACTTGTTCTGTGTTTGTGCATCAATAACCAGAACACGCGGATGCATGGTCGTGCGTGTATCGATATCTGCTGCGAAATAAATCAAGTGACACACGAGTGTGGGTGAAATATTGCATCAACACGTGGGTGGGTGCTTGGCTGCGTGCGTGTGATTTATGCACAGAAAAGTTGCGCAATAAAATCCACCGAGGGGGAAAGAATGAAAGAAGAAAACGCCGTCGGCACTCCAGGCTCGTGTCTCGTGTATAGGTGCGAGTGCAATAAATTATATGAGAGCTGAAAAAGAGGAAAGGACCAAAGGGTTCTTGCCCCACTTTGTCTTAATTTGCTTCTTCGCCGAGAAAGTTGGTTTTTAATTTTCACACTCTTTGCAAACTGTTGAGTCCAAGACAAGAATCCTAATTTCAACTTTCTTTGCGCCATTTATATTAGGGATTATTATGCAAATTAAATTGCATAATTTTTATTATAGGAAGAGAAAGATTTAGGGTATATACCTAGTATATTCCAGACTATACTTTTTTGGGTTGGCACTACTGCAAATGCACTAGCTGGTTTCTACCGGTTTATTTAGGCGGTTTTTCTTATCACTATGGCTGTTAGTGGGCGTTTTTTCTACAGCTGATTGTCTGTTTCCTTTCACTTTTATTGTCGAGTTACAGTGATTTTTTTTTAAAACTATAAACCTTCATTCATTCCTTCGAGCGAAAATAAAACATTTAATCGCGATTTTGCATGAAATTTTTTGATATTTCATTTCCAAAAATAAAATTCATTAATGAAGAGGCCTTTCAAAAATTATAAGGTACAATTTTCAATAAGTGGTAAATGTTGAATATGCTCTCTGATGCCCCTCTTTTTGATATTTTGTACGACTCTGCCTCTACATTATTATTTCGAGGTAGTTTTTATCCAGTTAAAAAATTCATATCATAATTTGATATTCGGGAAATTTTTAATTAAAAATTCTTTCCGGCAATGTTTCATGGGGAAATGAAATTTCAAACATTTAATTTATTATTACTTTTGCCCTTATTTGGTTTTCCTGGACAAAATTTATATGCGAACAAAGGCGGAATTCGCTTTTGTACAAAGCTTGGAATTCGGTATATTCAAAAACAAATACACGATATGGTGCGGCTTTTGGATTGTAAATAACATGCGCATTATTTTCCATTCATCTGTAAAAAATGAGTTTTCTATTATATGCCCATGTTCAACTGTAAATTTATACACCGTTGATATAAAAACAAGTCGTAAATATTTCGCAGTAACCCAAAACATAACCCGCATTATTTGTGGAAAGAATAAAGCCATTATTTGTCGGAAGTAAAAGTTTTGGGGTAGAAAATAAAATTCCTGAATCGCGCAGAGTGAGTAATAAAATATATCTCTCCTTTTAATTCTATCTCATGAATCCAGGAACAAAACGGACGGTCGTATTTCGGCGAGATAAGTTTGCCATCCGTTTTTCAAAGTACCAAAACCGCAGAGGACGGTTAAAGAGACGTAAATCCGTCGGAACGATAATGATGACAATAATTAGTCGGAGTTCCCTGGCCCGAAATTAGCCGGCGGACGGACGGATATGAAGCATAGGGTGGAGAGAGAAATTAGCGACAAGGGTGGCCCGTGAGTGGTCTAATTATGATTTATAAACGCGGTTCTTCGGAGATAAAGGGCGAATGTCACGCCCTCGACCAGCAACGCCGCACGCCATGCCCTTTAATAATCCTCCTCTGCCCGAGCGCATCTTGAATAATTATTCTTCTTGACGCGGTGAAAGTGAAAAAGTGTGGTCTTACTGCTCCACCCTTCCTTCTTTTACTATAACGTCGTTAAGACTTTCTTTCACCAACGCCTTTTCTTAATTTCGGCAGCAAATACTGCATCCCTTTCATCCCCCCACTGACAGGTCACACAACTTAAGAGCGACAACTCAATTTGCGGTATAATGGAGGTTTTCTACTTTTAACTCGTTCACAACAACGCAACAAAAGAGACGTTGTTTGTTTACGTGGAATTCATTATTGATTTTTATAAGGGATGGGAAAAAGTTTTTGTTGTTTGTTTCACAAATGAAATTTTCCGAAAAACATCATTTTCGTTATGTTTATTTTTATTATTCTCGTTGTTTATTTTCCAAAATTGATTGTTACTACCAATTAAAATTTATTGTTAGGACAAAACGGCAACAATTGTGAGAATTTTGCTGAGCTTTAGGGTCAAAAAGACCACAGCCACAGTGAGCCTTGATTTTGCATTTAATCAAATCAAAATTGACCATTTTTCTTCTACTTCTTCTTTTACTAATACTTTGATTTTACTACTTATTATCACCTCTGTGATCCCGCAATTTCTTTTTTTAACAGTTTTTCAGTTAGCTGTTTTTTTCCCAACCATCAAATTGCGGACAATAAATTTCCGCGGGCCGAAATTAATGGTTGCGCCCTTTTATAGCAATAAAGTTTGCTACGCCGACGATCGATCATTTTCTTTGCTGTAAAACTTTCTTTCTTTCTTTCTTTTTTGCTGGCGAAACGTTGCCGAGAAATTAGTCTGATAAAAAAGCAATCATCGGTCCCTGGAGGCTAATCGGTTTCAACGCTGTTTAACTTTGGTTTTTTCGCATGCAAAAAATCTCGGCCAAATTATTCCGGCACATTTGGTTTTACGGTTTCAAAGTGATTTCACGCGTGCTGATTTTCAAATTATAATAACGCATACTTACATGGAGATGTTGAGAAAGATGGAGAGGAGGAATTCGTTGTAAATGGCCATGGATATGAATCGAGACTCGTTGAACTCGGAGGGCGCCTTTCGCACGCCGATGCACAGCCAGATGCCCCACACCAGCAGCACCACCTCCACTGCAACACATCAAAGAGTGCGACCAAATTTAGCCAAAACTTGCTTCGCTTGCAGGATTATTCACTTTGATAAGAATATGTGCGTGTCAGAAAAACTTCAGGAAAAGGGGGGAAAGCGATTGGAAAACTAGAATTTCAGTCAAAATATTGGGGTTGAATTTAGTCAGAAAATAACGAAAGTCCATTTTTCGTCAAAAATTTTAATCATATAATAGGTTAAAAATTATCTATTTTGGCAGTAATTGTCTTAAGATAAATAAATAAAGACATTTTGCTTTTTAAAAAATTCAAAAAGGAAAATGAATAGAACTGGGAAAAATTGAATGTTACAAATTGATTGGTTTTAAATAAGTTTTAAAATTCTTCTATAAATTCACACGTAAACAAAATGTTTGTAGCACTGATGTGCTTGGCTTTGCCTTGCTCGCCAGTCACATAAGCCTATAAAACTCCGCTTGGAGTTGGCTGGACTTGTTATTTCTTTAAAAAATATCTTTATATTAAAAAAAAAATTTCTTGTATTTTTAATATTTTTATCCATTTAAAGATATAATATAAAACAGAACTCGTAATTTCAAGAAAAATTGCAATTCATTAACTGGTTTAAAGTGCAGTTTTCATTAAAACAAGTTATCAATTTGATGAGATTAAATTTGGAGCACATTTTACCAGTACAGATCAGATCGATTCATAGAAAAAATAGCTCCCAACCATACGACATATATAAAATTGATGAATTACAGTTTTTTCGGCACCTTTTTGTGTGTAAACCTCATCCATCAGTACTACATATAGTTAAATTCTCTAGGGCTTTCATCGCTGTAAGTGATGTTCAAATCCTATCATATAACTAGCGTCCATTACCAACCGCGTGGTAATCATCATTTGGCACAACAGATTATCATTTAGCATGTTGTGCGCATTTCCCAGAGAGAATATTCGAAACAAACGATAAATACGAACTAATGATTGTGTGCTCGCAAAATAATGATCACGATTTATTTTCCTGTCCTTTGTAGCATTACATTTAATTATTATTGTGGTGGGCGCGGAGCTTTTCCAGAGCAAACATTGCGAGAGGGCAAAGCAAACTCAAATTTTGGCCGCAATTAGCGGCGATTTTTCAATTTGTGAGTTCTAATTATAGGCGGATAAATTCACCATTTTGACTGATGATGAAAATGCATTTTAACCATAAACGCTTAAGAGAATTTTGACAACATTTTCTGCTTCAAATAATAAAATTGCAACTTCTCCAAATATTTATTTATTATTAAAAGTTTTTCATAGAGACCGAAAAAGGAACATGAAATTTCTCCTTTGATGTAAGTCAAACTCAAACTTGCTTTTATTCCAAGAAACCGTTTTTGAATCTTAAAACATTGCTTCTCCTCAAATTTTGACTTATGTTTATCTACTAATTATAAATCAACAATACGGAGGATGTGGTCGCTCATGCAGAATTTGTTTCTCAGTGTTTGGTAAGGTAGCACATCCTTCATGTATTGGTAATTAAAGCGAACATATAAAAGTTAAATAAGTTAAATAAACTAAAAATCAACATCGACAGTACAAAATCGAAGTGCACTGCTTGAAAAAAGAGGGGTAAGCGTAGTAAAAATTATTAATAATTTTTGTTCATTTTTTACACGCTTCTTTTCAAATTTTGATTTAGTTCATTAATTTTGTGTGTTCATTCTCTATTAAATATTTAGTGAAAAAAAAGTTGTAACTGAACTTCTTTATATAAATTCTCTTAAAACTATTTGGCCCCTGAAAATTATTTCGAGGAGTGCAGAACAATCCATGCAAATTGTATCTTTGAAACTAACGTTTTTTCCATAAATCCTAGCAAACAAGAGAGTTTATAGCTTAAGCGATCCAATAAATAAAATTCGTTTATTCTATGAATTGAAAGAAATCGCGATATTGAATTTAAAACTCCTGTAAGAAATATTTATATGGTCATTTTGGCAATTTTTAGAATGTTAGTGGATAATAAATAATGATCAATTGTTTTGTATCGTTTCATTTATGTTTACAAAACAGAATAAATATAGAACATGTATCAATGTACATAAAAAAGTTGTTTTAACGCATATTTATATATATATTTATATAGCTCACATCATGAACGGAAATTTTTATAAATTAAATTTAAAAAAGTGTAGTCCCAAATTTTATGATATCAACTTTAACAAGGAAAGAGGAGCAACGTTTTCATCACTTTTCTCATCACTCTCATTTAAAAAACATTTCTGGAATTCCACTTTTGTTCACTTTATTTTCATGAGGGAGTCCATCTGCGTTTTTCACATGGTAAAAGAAAACATCTTTTATTGTCTCATTCATGAGCAAAGAAACAACTTCATAAACCTGGGGCGAGCGCACGCACTCGCCAAAAACAAATCAAATTCCTTCAGCTTGCGTGCTCGCCATTTTTCGCTTTCATTTCTATTTTCTCGCGCATATAAAATATTGTTTTCCTCCCTCTGCATTTCTGCAGTGCCACGTGCCCCCATAAAATCCCGCGGAGCAATTTAGAGCGAAGAAATGTAGCAATCAGGAAGAGCGAAACGCATCCTCTTTTATACCAAAAAAGCAGCCTAAACACACGCGTGTGTCAGTTTGCCGCGAAAAGGGCAAGATTAAGAGCGAGCAAAAAAGGGAGAAATATTGCCGGAGAAGAGCCGGCGTCCGTGTATGCATCTCGCGAGATAGCACAGACTGCGTGTGTTCACTCAGCCCTGCCAGATAAATAGCTGATTTATTTTTTCGGACGCCATTTTTAACTCTCGCTAGAAAAAGCAACACACAAAAAGAGAGAGAGAGAGACCGAGGAGGCAAATCAACCAACTTTTTCCCGCAAAGCGAGCAAAAAGTAAGCAAGCAAAAGCGTTGACCACGTTTTGTAAAGAGCCCGCCACGTGAATATCTACTAGGGTCGAAGTTTTCTTTAGCGCGAAGCAAAGTTTGCCTAAGAGGGTGGATCGTTGTGGGTGGAAGACGCGCCTTCCGCCCTAGCTTTTCACAAGGGAAAAATATGCAGTTAAAAAAGAGGGTTTTTGCTTACAATGCACAGCACTTTCCACAAAATAATGTTCCTACAAAATATTACGCGGGCGTTAACGACATTTTTACAATATGCTTTTCCTTGTTTTTATTTTTAAAAGCGTGAGGCGCTATATCGATTTAATACGAGAAAAATGACAATAACAACTTGTGGAATTAAAGTGTTTTAAGAAAAGTGCTTTTAACGACAAAGCTGTAATTCACCGACATGTTAAGAATAATGGGCCAGTGTAGATTAAGTTGAGTGTACGTATTAAATTTTTAATTTGCATATAGACTGCTTATTTAAAAAAGGTAAAAAACAAAACTCACTAAATACCTCATAAACAATATTATCGTTACGAAATTTCGCGCCCAAAAAGTTATAATTTTGAAAATTTGGATTGTTTTATACTGAAATGACGATCCCGAATTTAATTTGTTTCCAGAAATCTGTTTTAAATTAAAAAAAATTGAAGAGAAAGGGGACACTCTAAATGACCTCCCCGGCCCGGCGGAAAGGTAGTCCTCGTATTCCTTATTGACCCCTAATATTTTAGCTGGAATATGAATTATAATTTTAATGCCTAAAAGAACTAAGAACGATGAATGGGAAATTTCAAATTGGAAATATTTATATATAACTGAAAAGCGAAAAAATAAAAATTTACTAATTTCGCAAAGAATTAAGTTGGCACTGAAGGAGATTTTGAACTTTTTGAAGCGAAGTAAGACGTCATTTTGCCGGTTTTTCCCTCTTTGTTTGTTTTATTCAAGAGCCGTTTGTTTGTGAATAAAAACAAATAATTTCAGCTGAGAAAAAGCCCGTTTTACCACCGATTTAAACAGTTTATGATCGTTCCTTGCAAATTTAGAAGTTAGTCTTTCGTTATTTATAAAAAATTTAAATGATGAAACAGATTGCAGCCTACATCGATAGAAAAAATATTTTTCGTTCTATCATAAAAATAAAAGGGGAAAAATCAACTTCAAATGTTTGGTCAGGGCTTGTTTACAGTGTTCAGAACAACCAAAACATCATTAAAACACAATTTTCGCCGACAGCGCGCTTTCTTCAAATTAGCTGATAACAAATATAAACGAACGACGGTCGAGTGCAAAAAAGGCTCGGACGAAAAAAAAACTCCCGCCGAGTCATTAAAATATATCTCAACTCTGTTTGTTTTGCCAATGCAAACAAACAAACAAACGAACGCAGACGTTGTTCGGAGGGGGTGTGGAGGTGACGGTCTTGGCAGGGGTGCAAATCAGGGGCGGCCACTCCGCATGAAATAATTTGCATATCCACACTCGACTGGCCTTTTTTAGAGCACGGTGCGCGCGTATCAAATTATCACATTAATGGACCTCCGAGGATGGCAGGTCCGGAAAACAAGACGCTTTTTTGCGCGTTTCGTGGGCACCCGACCTGGCCATAAATAATTTACACGGCGCGTTGTGTGCAGTGACAGGCCTCGGGGAGCGAACGGGCCAACCGAGGGCGGTGCAACTTTGGCAAAAACGCCGTCAAACGAGACTTTAACAAATGGGTCTGATGTGTTGAGCGGTGGCTCTGAAATATTCACCCCCATTTCGACTTCATTGTTTGTTTGTGGGTTGCATTTTATCTCAGCGTGAAAGATGTGATGAAATTTTAATTTTCAGGGACTTTTGTTTGTGGAATTTATTGAACTGCACTGGGGCCTGATGCGAGTAATCTTTCAAGGGCCAACAGGATCAATGCTAGAGTTAGTTTTGAAAAATGAAAAAAAAAATCAAATAACTTCTTTATATCTTCTGCAAAAGCATCAAATGAATAAGTTACTTAGAACAGATAATATTGCCCAAATCTGACTAAATATGAAAAAAATGACTCTCGAAAAATAAATAAAAATAAACTTATATTTAGTTTCTAAGGAATATCATGATATGACAATTTTGATCTGCTACTAAATGATTTTAATCCATTTAATTAGTATGAAAATTGGTTCATACACCTTCATTTTTAATGCAATAAAATAATAGTGTAATTACGAAGACCTACTAGCATCGATTGCAAATTTTCTCATTCACTTGTTATGAATATTCAAAAGAATAGAATTCGTGGTTAATGGATGTACTATAAATTTATGCTTTTAGCTCATTAAATTGATAACTCTCTTTGAAATAAGTCTATGGCAATATGTGCGTTCAATATGGACCACCTGCTCACGCTCCTCACCCTGTCGTCTGTGCGTAATTTAATGACTGGAATTTCTAAGCAAAGGAGACGAAGCCGCCGTCAATTAATTCACAGCGAGATAAGGAGCAAGTCAAGCGAGTTAGTTTGGCGGAGTGGAATTGATGTCACACGCAGCAAAAGCAATCACCAAGACATCAGACCGATTCCGGCCAGTAGTTGACAACTTGGCCCGGCTGCTAAATAATGCATCGTCAAAACAACTTTATCTATCTCTCAGGACGAAGAAGCGGCATCGATCACTTTTTCCGACGGAACTTCTAAACTTTCTTCCGGGAATTGCTGATATTTCCAAGCATTTTGTGTTTCTCAACCGCACAATTCCCAGAACAAAGGAAAGTGTCAGTGAGCGAATTGATTTTGTTCAGTTCATGGAGCTGGTGGAGTGAAAAGTGCGATTGTGAAATTTCAATAGCTTCTCTGGTATATTTTTGCAACACTGTCAAAATCAGTGATTTCCAGCCGACAGTTCGAGAAAAGGATAAACGAAACGTGGAAATAAACTAAAGGGGAGCAAAATATTATTAAATTTGAAATTCACGCTTTTGGAGCGAAGCACTACAAAGGACGCAAAGGAAATTTAATTTTCAATTATTATGTCCATTGTACGGTTTTAGTGACAAATGTGAAATGCGCATGAAATTATAAACGTTGATAAAAACCAAAACGTTTAAAATTTAAATAATATTTGCGCATAGCAAAAACACAATTAGTCACAAAAAAGTGTATTAAGTCATAATACATTGGGCAATCATTGCCCTCGAATTTATAAATTGAAAATTTTAAAATGTACAATAAGAAAGGAAATGGAAATCTGCGTTTAAAATTACCTTATTTTATTAACGAACTTCAATCTGCACCCAATGTTAAATGGGCGAGATGAGATTGCTTTTTTATTCATCCAAGCAGCATAATTATTTAATCTTTGGAATCTATTTAATGCACTTTCACTATTCACCTCTGACAGTGAAATAAAAATGTTTTAATGTTTAATTTTTATTGTTCACAAAAATACACACTTCACTATTTATATTTTGAATGTTTTTGAAAATGGTGGAATTTTGGATGCTAAATAGAGCCAAAGCAATTGAACATGTCTGCGCTATTTTTGAACAGGGCCTATAATTATTGTATTGTATATTTTAAATCTCTTGACGATCACTAATGTCTTCGTTTTTCACTAAGAGAATAAAAATATCTCAGAAATACTGGGAAAACTAATATTATCTCCAATTTTCTTTCCCTTTTTAAATTCAGCTCCTCTTCATAATTTTTTTTTGCACAGATTTTAATCTGATTTTTTAATGAATAAATGAAAGGAAAATAAACGGTATCCCATTTCTGTATTTTTTTTTTTTTGTCAATTGAACACAGGGTGAAACGGAAAGGAGAACATAAATATAAAATGATTTAAAAACAACACGAAATGTTTCCCATTTCTCTCGGACTATCTTTTTTTCATCAAGGGTCTGATTCAGAAAGGAATCTACCATTGCAAATTCCTCTTACAGAATTGTAGGTCAGATGATCGCAGAAGACTTGACCTTTAATTAAAACAAAAAGGGATATATGTACGTTTGAGCTATCAAGTGGTTAATTGTCCTTCTGTAATCAAGTTTCGCGTCCGGCGCGCAGTTTTCTGATTAATCAAAGTGCGAGCGGCGCACACGAGTCATCACGGCGACCCTGGGGAGCAATTCTCGGGTGCGTGCAAGCGACGGACACGTTGATAGAAAAGTTGATTAACGCGTCGTTGCTGGATAAAAGGGAGCAAGCAAACGGCAGAAAGGAGAACGACTCTGCGCCGCAATCAACTTAAAAGTGACAACTGCTTTTGTTATAATACACATAAAAAACAGGAGGGAAATAATGTTTGTACTCACTGAGCGAAAAGCAGTGGTCCCACCAATCGGTGCGACAAAGGAAGGCCTTGAGGTCGTCGGCAGACTTGGCGACGACCACCGGTGGCGGCGCCACCAGCGTCCTCATCAGCAGCAGCGCCGAAAAAGCGCCCACGATGAAGCCGAGCCTCTTGAGCAGGTCCATGTCGGTGATGCGCACCGCCTTGGCCGAACGCACTCGGAAGATTACGGAAATCCTGAAATACAAAGGAAAACACACACCAGATTTTAATCAACTTGATGCACATGTGTCAAGAAGAAAATTACGAGAACACGTTGACAGCTACAGTAGCTTTTAGTATTATTAAAGATACTTGAGATTGATGGCTGCTTTGATGGAGCAAAGTCTGCTTCGGATATAAATTGTAAATGACGTATTGCAACAAAGGGGTAATAAACTTCGTAAATTGCAAAATTATACTTTAACTGTAGTGAAAAATGTGATCCTTAAAGAGTTCATCATCGTAGAGTGAAATTCTGCCTTTAACTTTCTTGAAAATGTTTTTTTTTCCAAAAAAAAGAGATGGTTAACCCATTTATCGTTACAGGCGCATAAATTTTATATTTAAATTATTAAATATGAACGGTTTAAAGTTTTCAGCAAATGGTGCTTAAGAAGGACGACCATTTTAAAGTTTATTTGTAAATTTTATAAATTTAAAATTCAAGGAATCTGCATAAAAACACTAAAGTGAAATTAAGTAAACATCCGTGTATAGATTTCACCAAGATATTGATGCCAAGATCCCCCAAATGGTCAATGGAGTGACTTTAAGGCTTTATACACTTCTTTTCCCCGTGGCTTTGCTGTTACTGTGTCAGAAGTCAAAAGGAAAGGATCATCAATATTGGTGTACCGACAGCTCAAAACGAGAGAAGCTTCACAATCCATCCATCACGAAATAAATGCTACAGCGCTGTCAATGGTGTCGATCTATGGTTCGCATTTCTAGACACTGATTTTTTGCCATTGATTTATCAAGATGTCAAAAATAAACAATATGGTTGGACTTTTCGTAATGAAAACAAAAATTAAAGAGGATGGCAATTACAATGGACGGGGGTTTCATAGATAAAAATTCTGAAAAAAGCCAACTGCTTATAGCTACTAAATTTAAATATGTTATTTAACAATGAGGTTTAATTTTTCCATAAAAAAGGAGGCTATTGAAAACAAAATTATTTTATATACCAACATAAATATCATTCTTTTAAAGCATCATTTTTTTTTTACATAAAACTGAATTATTATTGTCATCGTTTAAATGTTATTTTATTTATTATTGTTGTTTTTTTGCGCAAATAGATATATTGTTTACATTCAATTGTTGAAATCAATATTAATGTAAGTATGAGTTTGTAATGAAATTTTTAGAAATTATTGTAAAACAGCAGCACTAAAAAAGTATTATAAATATGTCTCATAATAGTTTAAAAATTGAAAATTAAGTCCAAATGTGTAAATATTATGGGCAAAAATTTTTAATAAGTAAAAAAAACTAATTATTTCACCAGAATGAGGCAACCCGAAACTCGCAAAACGAATTTCGTATTATTGATCAATTCCGCTCAAGACCTCGAACTCTTTCCAAAACTTTTAATTAAATCAAAGCAGAACAGGTTATTGAAGGAAATTTCTCATTCAAAGGGATTAATTTATATTAAAATCTTAGAGAGCCTCTCAAGCTTCTGGTCGAAATCCTTCGAAAGTTGTTAATGAGCGAATTGGCTGCTTCGGTTGATGAATAAGAAATCGCCGTCAAATTAATTAAATTAGTAAACCACTCAACTCACCTCCAAGTTTTGAGCATAAGAGCACCGTAGGTAAGCGAGAAGCCAATCTCGCGGAGCCACACGCGCAGCGAGCAGGTGATCATGTTGGGCTGCGGGTACATGACAATCGTCTGAAACACGAGCGTTTTACAGCTTTAGAAAGTCAAGCACGAGCATTCCGAAATAAATTGATGTGTTTTCGCGGGAAAAGCGTCAAAGACGGCGCAAAGTAATCATTCCCCAGAAAAGCGCTTGTTTGCCCTCGCCAGTCATTCATTCATCCTCTCTCAGTCGACACGAAATGCGTCCTTAATGAGGTTTGCTCCTCATCCTCGGCCCAGCTCCGAGGGCGAAACGGGCTTTTCTCTTTCCGCCGAACACCCCGAATGCATTCTCTCATTAATGTCCATTAATTTTGAAGCCGCAGAGCTTTGTTTGAGCGCGCACGCTGCACGTCCCAATTCCGTGCTCGAACAATGGGACGCGTATTTTTCAGTGCGAGAAATTTTCCGAACCCCTTTTTGTGATTTATTTGTGCAATTAATTTGCTGGCACTCGTAACTTCGCACTTTCCGCAACTTGTAATTTGTAACTGTTGATGAAAAATGTGACCAAAAAAAGGAAGCACGTATGAAAAACTATCTTGGAAGAAGTATAACTTTGTTAAAAAAGTTTTCTTTATACGCTTTTTTAGGTTCGGTGTCAGTTTGTAAAAGAGCGATGGAAAACCTGTTTTTTTCTCAATGAACTTCATCAAACATGAACTTTGCAATAAGAAAAACCATAAAATTCAAAAAGAAAATTTAAGGTTCATTTCTATGAATATGTATATTTTTCTTTTAATTAGCTAAAATAAAAATATTTGGCCTTAATTTTAACTAGCTTGGGAAAACCAAATAGTGTTTAAAAACCATTGTTTGGTTTAGCAACATTTGTACAATAATTTACCCCAAAATGTAGGCCTAAAACTCGATTTGGTCCAATTTTAATCACTGTTCCTCAAAGTTTCTTTTTGGCGCAAGGATGGCTTAGAATTTTGAGCAAAACCAACTCGCTGCTTCTAACTTATTCATATTTTTAAAATAAAATACTAATGCGAATTGCAGTCCCAACCTCCTAACAAGATTTTAATTGCTGAAGTCGGGGAACCTCGGAGGCTTAAATCTTGTAATTATAAATATAAATTATAGAACGGAGCTAAATACACTGGTGCTGCTCTGGCGAAGAAAAAGCAGCCTTATTTATAAATATCACAAGCATGCCATGGTCGCTTTTTAATAGGTGCTTATTTTTATTTTTATGATAAAGGTTCACGGATAATTATGAGTCTTGTCTTGCTTACGGTGTTAAACACTTGTTAATGTAACCTTTGAGCAAAAAAGGGCCTGAAACATTATTCAAACTTTGTAATTTCCCACATTTACATCCCTCAATTATGCTTAGACAAGTGTGATGAATAAAAAACACTTTCAACTTCCAAAAAGGGATAATAATTAGCAACATGATTTTCTTCACTATATAATTAGGGAAATAAAATTACGAAGTTTACATTCTTTGCAGAGCTATTACAAAAAAAGCAATAATAATCAGGAAGAGGCAATTTTTTTTTTTAAAGTGCTATTTTTCAATAGGACTTTTAATTAGCTCAATAATTTATAGTAACGTGGGATGGAAACTTAATTTGGAAACTTTCATAGCACAACTAAGAGACACGTTGAATGTGATTAGCTTTAGATTCGCCGCAATCTCCGAACTTGAACATTATCCTCCACCTGGACCACTTGAAAAGTTTTAAACTCGCAGTAGCGCGTCTCATTTTGGTTTTCGCTTGTATTATTATGCTGTTCTCAGCGCATTATTTTCGAGCACTTTCCAGGGTCTTCAAGAAAGTTTTGAAGGCAGAGAAGAGGAGCGAGCGTCAGATGAATTTTGTATACACACTCGCAATCGAGCACCCTTGCTCACTCAACTGGGCTTTTTACTTTTACTTCTTCTTCCCTCTCAATTCAAACTTTTTGTGCGGTTTTGCTTCCTCGCTCGCTCGCATAGTGAATGGATTAAATAAAACCGCGGGGAGTTTGCAAATCAATTAATTAGTGGTTTTACGCGTTTATTATATTTTTCCCTTTGTTGCGCGTCAATTTTATATTTTCATTGACGGCTGGCTTGCTGCATCCAATTTTAGCATCCGACAGGCCAGGCTCTGGCAAATCCCTTTACCACCCTCAAAAGCCGGCGAGAAAGAAATAATATACGAGAGGCGAGAAACGAGTCAATAGCCTAGTCTCTTTATTTCCAGCGACCCGTGAAATTCTCTGCGAAAAGAAAAGGCAAAAAGACCGCCTGGTGGTGATGACGGCGGGAGATCTTTTTGTTATATTTTCTTTCTATTATTAGGACTGCCATGGTTTAATTCTGTCGATCCCTTACTTTATTTTGGCGTGTGAAAGCAGACAATGAGAGAGTGCTGGACGCCGTTTTATCGGCAATCCCATCGCCTGTCATCGGTTATTGCATCCAAAGTGCATCAGGACCGGGGTTATCGGAGGGTAAATTGAAGCCGTTCGCGTCAATATACTTCACACTTGCTGAGAACGTCACATTTTTCCCATCGTTATTCGCAAAAAAAAAGATATTGGAATTTATTATGCGCAGAGCGCCAAAAACTCTTTGCAGTTTTAATGTGCCCTGTTATTTCCGTCTTTCTTTATTGTTACTTGCATGTAAATAATTCATATTTTCCATATCTTTGGCCAAACCCTGCTCGTCCCGAAATTATGTTGGTACACTGCTGCCGTCAGAGCCATGGGGCCTTATGGCTCTGGAAGGTAGACATCTTTTTTTGGCCAACATAACTGAGCTGATGAGCAGGGTTTGTCTTTGGCTAACGTTAAAAAAAAAATCATAAATTACGATTGACCTATGCACTGAAAATTTACTGAGCAAGTTTTAAGATGGTGATTTGAATTTAAAATCGGCTTAACCTCGATGGGTTTTTGTTGTTTATTGTTTCAGAAAAAACAATATCCTGCTCTACATGTTTCGGCTGCGGGCTGCAGCCATAATTCATGAGCTGTGAAAACATATTTTGACAAAAATTAGTACAAAAATAAATCTTTTTTCAAAAATTGTCAATTTGAAAAAAAATAATTTTTGAAAAAAGATTTACTTGTGTACTAATTTTTGTCAAAATGTTTTTGCAGCTCATGAATTATGGCTGCAGCCCGCAGCCGAAACATGTAGAGCAGGATATTGTTTTTTCTGAAACAATAAACAACTCACAAAAACCCATCGAGGAAAAGCCGATTTTAAATTCAAATCACCATGAATCAACCTTCGATCGTGAAATTTTACTAAAAAAAAAAAAAGTTTTATGATGTCTAAAATAAAGTATGTAATTAAGAAAATTTACAAACAGCTTGAAATATACTAAATATTGGTTTTGTTGATTTAATATTCAACTTCAACACTTAGTCTCCTATTTTGTCGTTTTTGTAATGATCTATTAGATAATATTTAACCCAGCACTGATTTCTAAAGAATTGTATAAAATGTCAATTTTTCTTTTGGAAATTAATAATTATCCCCAATAATATCTGAACAATGTAAAACATAATAATAATAATTTAATAATAAAATTTATTTTAAAAAGGTTTAATTAATTTGACAAAGTTGCTTTAAAAGGGTTGAAAGTTTGGAAAAAATGTAATAACGATGGATATTTCATATTATTACATGTAAGAGAGAAAACTGAAACGAGACAGCTTAATTTAATGTACAGGTCTGAAACATGATTCTAATCTACACAAAAAATCTCCACTGTATGAAGTATCTTGAAAATGTGATTAAATAAAGATTTAGTTTTTACCCTTTCTTTAGAAACTAACAAGCTACAATAAAATAACTTCTCTTTTAAAGCTGCGTCCAATTATTTGCGTATCAGACAAGCTTCTTATACCACCGAGTGTACAACTAATGGCGAGTCGGTGTAGAATTAAATAAAGCTACCGGCTTTGCATTGGGGCCCGCCGTCGAAAAAGCAATTTGTGCGCATTTTATGAAGACGTGTACTTGGGAAATTTATTACCCACCGGAGAGAGATATTGGCCGTAAAATGGTCGAGGAAAAATGTCACTCTCGTTAAAAGCAGCAGCGAATCCATCAATTTTTCTTTCTTTCTTTTCTCTCGGTGCAAAAAAGCGACAAATTTCGAAAGCCTATTGTGTCGCGTTTTACGAGGACATCAGCTCGGCAAGGAAATTTATTTCCCCGTTTCAATCTCCGAGTATGAATGGATAATTTTTTTTTTCATTTATATTGAAAGTAGACTTTCGTCACTATTGCTGGCAAAGATGCAGAAATTGCTTCAGCGCATTCAAGCAAAGCTGACAACACGACATCCTACTTTGCATCTCTCCTCATCCTATTTATAGCCAAAGTGGGAGAATGTTGTATTTTCCATAAAGCTGCAAGAAAATGTGCTAAGTGCCTCGGGAGAGAGGAAGACATTTACGCTGGAAATTCTATTTAGTAAAACATACACCTACGGCATTATGCCGTGGGAATTCATTTGCATGATAGTGAGTGCATAATTAGCGCATTACCGCTCCACCGAGTGAAAAATTAATTCCCTTAAGTTGGGTGTCTGTTTATACTGGCAATCAGGTCGCGCTGAAAGCATCTCTGTAAATTTATATACTATCTCTAGGTGTGCCGCTGACGCAACCATTGTCACATCAGACTAACCAAATTAGACCGCGGCGAAACGGTTTGAATATTCATGGTGAACACAAATTTAGCGTCAATTGTTTGGTTGAAACCTCTGAGAGGCAGGAGTGGTAAGTGAATTGCAATTAAAATTGATGAAAATTTAGGTATTAGAGGGCAATCTAATGTACTAATTTCAGTAGTCAAAATCACCAGGCAAATAGAAATAATTGTTGTTTGGTTAAAATATTTGATAGCTTGAAAATTAAGAAATATTATTTAGAAAACTAAATAGGAAATTCAGATCAATTCTTCATTACAAGCTAGAATTTTTGATTGGAAAATTTTTTAATATAAAATAGAAAATCTTTGTTATCTAAAAAAAAAAAAAATACAGTGTTTTAACCTTTTATTCAATTTAATTAATTCTATTCAGAAATGTATTTACTGCGAGGAAAATTAATTAAATATAAACGGTTATCAACTCAATTGAACTGATGTGAAATTTTTGAATAAGTACTGGCAAGTCGGAGAACTTAATTTAAAATTATACTAATTTCTTTTCAATATAAAATTCTTTTTTGAAGTTTCAAAAAAAATGCGCCAATCATTGTAAAAAAGTGACAGCATAACCATTTTTGCAATAAAATTATAAAAAAGCTCCGATATCTAACTATTCACAAAATGTACCTAAAATTTTAGATTTTTTTTAACTCTTTTATTTCTGGATAGATCAAAATCTCTGAATGAATTCTACAAAAAAACTAAAAAGATTTTTCTACCTGTATAATTATTTTTAAAAATAGTGATTAATATAACAAAAAAACAGAACCCCTGCTCCAAATCATCAATTTCATGTGTATCGTGATCTGTAATGAGGCCCTTGGAACCGATCATAATTGATCTTTGCCACTCTCAGGACTCATTATCGACCTGGCGTCGGCCCATTGGGTATGATTAGGTGCACAAAAAGACCCTTGCAACACACACCCGTGATGAAACAAACAAACCTTCATCCGGATGTGCTGAGAAGAAAAGAAAGAAGAAACACGCCGTTGAGCAGAAAAATGGCAATTAGTGCGCCAGATTGACGAGCTGCAGCAAAAATGTTGTGCAGCTGGAGTTAGTTGGCCGATTCCATTTCACTCGGCGTGGAAAATAATGGCTCAGGGAGAAGCCGCTGCCAGCAGTGGCGATTGGTTTCCTCTTTTTTACAGCAAAATGGAACACGGCCTTTCGCCCCTGGTTAATTAGTTGATTGGCCGAGGGGAGAAGGAAAGTTGCTGCCTTTTCCTAAAAAGCGGTCGGGTTTTCCAGCGCTCTCTATTAATTTCAGTCGAAAAGTCTCCGAGGACACGGGAAATATCCTAAGTAAACGTGAATTTGATTTTGCTGTTGAGGGAATAGTTTTTGTTTCCAGAGTAAATAAAGCACCGTTTCTTGCGGGAAATTTTGCTTGGGTCGAACCAAAAAAAAAAAAAAAAAAAATCACTCCGACGTTCCTTTAAAAGCTTTTCTTTCTTTTTTTATAAACAGCAGATTAATTAAATTACTTTTTCTCATGTTTCCGAGAGCCGCATATTTTTCATGGATTAAGACTGTGAATTAGACATTTTTTGAAGTAATAATAATTTTTGAAAACAATTTTCTGACAGAAGAAGTGAATTTTTAGATTGTTTTCAACAAACAGAGAGTTTTAGACGAACTTGAGTCAAAGCCTAATTTTAACATTATCCCCAATCAAGATTTTCTCGCAACACAAATGTTTCCTCAATAGAGAATTTAAAAAAAATTTCAACCCCAAATTTATTAATTTTAAAGCTTTGTCTGATTGTGAGTGAGGAAATTGAATCCATCATTTCTAAAGTGAATTTCTTACAACTACAAGAAAAATTTGGTTTGGACTTCAAAATAATTTTTTTAAACATATGTCTTGAAAAAAAAAACTTTACACAGTGCAATTGAAGGAAACATTTAGAAATTCCATAAAATTAGTTTTTTATGTTCGCTATATAATCATTTAAGACGATTCGTTATAGCATTTAATCATGCAGATTTGCAGATTTCATGGTTTGCAGTTCGATTACCGAAAATAAAATTTTGATTAATATTAAAGTTTTGATTTTCACAGCCATATTTTTTAGTCATCACTCATCTTTGATTGATAGTGAGGTTGTTAAAAATTCACGCTAATTGAGCTTGAATAATTGATAATGCTGTTGCAAATCCCCCTCTTTAAAATTTCCATATTTATTTTTCTCTCCTGCCAGCGGGTACCATTTAATTGGCGTCGCGAATATGAAAGCAGCGGCGCCTCCGGACTCGCCAGTTGTGTACTTGCATGCAACATATCGGATGCATTGTATATTGCATTTTACGTAGGTACTCACAGTGCAGTAGATGAGAAACGCGCCCAGGGCGATTACTCGCAGCAGTACCGGACTCGCAGCGCGGACAACCTGCAACAAAAGACGGACACTCTTGTGAATAAAACATTAGAGAGACGGAAAGTTTGCTTGAGCATTTGAGCAAACGGCGATGGCCATTAGAGGGCCGTTTGCGAAATGAAAACAAACATTTGAGGCAGACTGGTGGAAAAACCGTCGCCTTTTCATGTTCCCTATTAACATAAAATATGTATGTTGATTTATAGATAAACAAACACTATCTGACAACTTTGTTCTTAAAGAAAGGCTTTCACCAGTACTGATATAAAATCTATTTGAAATGAGGTATACCAAGTATCATTAGCATCATGGAATAATTAATCATTTAATTAATAAAAACTGGATGCACAAAAGAACTGCAAACTTTGTGGCAAAAACAAACAAAAGTTTACTTTTTATGAGAAGATGTCCAGTTTTACTATTTTAAGAAAAGTGTCAATTTAAAATCAATTTTGTTCTTTACTGAACATTAATAAAAACTAAAATAAATTTTTCCATTTAATTATTTCAATGATATTAATTAAAAAAATTTTAAATATAGAATTAAAGCAAACTAAAAATAAATTTTATCTTTCAATAAATAGTAAAAATCGTAAAAATTTTACTCGTTAAACATTTATTTTTACAGTTCAAATTCAAATAAAAAGCTATAATGTTTTTTACAATTTCATAACCTTTTTAATTTCTATTCATTATAATAATTTTTATACAATATAATATTTCATGCATTCATGATGTGTAACAATTTCATTAGACACGTTCAGCAATCATTTATTTAAATTTTTATTTATTTTTTAATTAGTGCCGTTGAAAAAGTATAAGAAGAAAAATAATTTGTGTACCATATTTTAGACCACTTTCAAATATAAATCGCTGAGAAGATACTTTTTTTAAACATTTAAGATCGAATCTGGTTCTAACAAAATGTGGGCCTAAAAATTCATGTAACTAAATAAATTTTTTATGAACTCTGAACAATATTTGTGAGTAAATTTTGATACATAATGAAGTCTTTGTAGTTGAAAATCTGTAATCTCTTCAAACATTTTGGTCTTATTTAAATATCCAATCACCTTGATTGAAAGACGAGAGTCAACTTCAAAAGGTTTCCAATCAGAAACATCAAAAGCCTTCTCTCGTTTTTGTTATTAATTCTATCAAAGTGACAAACTCGCAAAATTGACTTTCACGGGGAAGGAAGAGCTATTTAATTAATGATTAAGGAATGTGGCAAAAATGCGTGCCAAGTTTTAATTAGAGCCAGAGGCCAGAGGGTGAAATATGAAGTGAATTGGGGGGTCGCGCAGGTGGGGCCTGAAAAAGTGGTGACGCGCGCGTGTCGTTCTCATCGATTACGCGGGGAGGAAAGGGTTGCCAACGAGCACTATTAAAGAGCTTGCGAAACAATAGCGTTGTCCTCTCTCCTTGTACTTATTACAGACCGGCTACTCCGCGGCCTCCTCTTTCGAGTGCATCACACACAGCGTTATTCTCTCGTACACGGGCAACGCCCGGAGCCGCCTGAATGTCGGGCCCTTTTCGTAATAAATTCTCTGGAATATACAAAAAAGAAAATACAAACCACATTTAGAATTAAATGCACATAAATCCATTATTTGTTAACTGGAAAATTTTAATGTCTTATGTTAGTTGGCAGTTTTTAAACAAAAATTACATATTTTTATAAAAAAAACTTCAAGACGGAGATTGATTCATGCTGTTGATGTTTGTGATTTCCGGTGATTTCCTTGATGGACATTAGAGATATTACTGTTTTCTATGAATCAGCTATGAAACAATATAATAATATGGATGATGTATTTGGGCAGAGAATGCCCGGTGGTACATTAATAAACACAATTGTAACTATAAGCGACTCATAAACCTCTCCAATATAAATCCCATTCTCAAGTAGCAAAATCCTATTAACTTACAATAAGCATAGTCGGAAGAGAGCCTAACAATTAGCTCTTATTGGTTTTCTTTTTAATTTAATTCAAAATTCATTTCATTATCTTGCAAAAGTAGATTAGAGTCGTCTACGAGACTATTATAATTATTCATTCGTAATTCAAAACAAATTCATCTAACAAAAAATTAAATTGACTTAAAACAAAGAGATGAAATGTAATTTGCGTTTTATTGCATTGCAATTATTGTTAAATTTTCGTGAAAAAGTAATAAGATTAGGATGGAAGCGAGCATGAAAATAAATTATTGTTGCAAACCAAATTATTTAAATTTTTTTTATTGTTAAGTGGTAGTGATTTTTTTTCTTCATTTTATTTCCTTCTTTTTATACATATAAAGAGATGTGGTTGTTACGATATTATGTATATTCCAGTTTCTATTTTACTATAAATTAATAATCCCAAATTCTAAACAAGAATGGTGAAATTCCACTGGCTTTGTCCCCATTTGAAATTAATTTGTGTTTGACAAATAACACTGATGCTGTTTGAATTGACAATTTTCACTTAATTTAACTTGAAAATTGTGGTTTTGCAGCAGCAGCTGTTGGTGCTGGAATGGGTGCAGCACCGAGTGAGGGTTCCGAGTGCGTCATGCGTGCTGCCATAAAGCTGCACCGCCCTCGTATTGATGTTGCAGCTTTAAGTAAGGGCGCGCCTGTTGGGTGGCACTTGGCGAAGACATTACGTTCGGCTCTTGATATGTACGTACGTTTATTGTGCATTAGACTTGCCGGCGGTGGCGCGCGGCCTATTGTGTCTGTTCTCTCTCGAAAAGATGCTTTTCGCACATATCGACGCGCGACGCCACCTTGGAAACGCTTTTTTTCCTCAATTCGCAATTTTTCGCTGCGGTTTTTCACGTCCGGGCTTTGAATTATGCAGCAGATATGAAGTGGCGGGTGTAAATTTTTGTGAATAAAATATTATTATGACGAGCTCGGGGCCTGAAAAGCTGCTCTCCCATTTTATCCTGAGAGCGAACGCATCAATTTTTAAGAGTTTCTTTGAACGTATGGGCGGGAAAGGGCGCTTTTGTTTTATGAATGGGAACACACAAGGGATCAGCCGCGTTGTAATTTTCGCTGTCACTTTTTCAACAAAAATATTCACCAAGGGATTGTCCTGATGAAAAAATTCACATGATCATAAAAAAAAAATTAAAATATTCCTTCTGCTAATGTTTAAAAAAAAAAATTCAAAAGATATTCCCCATTGCATTTTCCTCACGAGTCTCTGAATGTATTGAAGCAATTATTTATTTATTTTCTCAACTTTTGGAAGCTTAAGCACTTTTCACTTTCCTTTTTTTTTAGTTCAAAGCAGTTCAAAGGATGCTACACAAAGAAAAATAATACAACCGAAAAAGGTGCTGTTCATATTAACGTCTTCATTAATATTTTCGCATGAACATCCTTGCAGTTAACAAAATGGGTAAAATTTCAAAGAACTTCCATCTCAAATCCCAATAAAAAAATTAGTAAAAACTTTTTAATGTGCACTTTATATAAAAATAAATTTTTATGATATCAAAATAAAATCCCTTAATGTTTTAACATAACATGATAGCAAATAATGTCTAATTAAAATTATGAAAATAAAAAAATTTGAGAAAAAACGGCAAAATTTATGTTTAGATTTTTGAATTTTGTTAAAAAATTTCTTCATTTTTATAATATACTTCCAGCTGCTAAAACGTTTATGACTAAAGATTTTTTCATTTAACATTGATTTTTTCAATACTGATTAAAAAAAGTGTGAAACCTTAAACAAATATTTATAATATTTTTATTTTTATACACCAAAATATAAATAACATTTTGGCTATTTTTATACCTGAATTTTATTTTTCTGAAATATTTTATGGCATTTTCACTTGACATTTTGTCAACTAAATTTGAATTGAATCTTATAAACGCCTTGTTTAATAGAAGAATAAATAATTTGTTAGAGGTCTTTTCGTTTGGGGTGACAAAAGCGAAAAATATTAGATTTAATTTATATTCCCAACAATAGAATTTGAAAATTAAAATTTAGGTCTGAAATTTCACCTTTTACACCAGAATTTCAAGGGCAAATATATTTCTAATCTCTAGCTAAGCCGGGTCCAATTAATTTAGGTCCAATTATTTCGCGATCAATTAAAACGGAATCTCCATCTGGGAGTTAAATGGGGAGGACTTATTAGCTTTTCCAAAGGGACCAATTATGAGACAGCCTGATAATGAGCCACCCTGCAAAAAAAGCGCAACCTCGGCTGCTTTTTGCGTCGACCGCAAGCAAAACTGCTGCTGCTCGATAATGATTTCTTTCGGCGCCACGAACGTGAGCTTTTTTTTATTCCTCCCCGCGAGGCGGACAACTTTTGCCTCTTGGTGGGCGACGCAAAGTCCTTCCACGTTTTGCATGCTGACGAAAAAAACCACACACACAACTCCTATAAAAAAAACTGTGGCAGAAGAAACAAAAAAGACCCTCGAATTATGTTCTTGTTTTTCTCTCTTGTTAGAGGAATAAAAAAGGAACGTGAATCGCCGCGTCCATCTATCTCTGGCACGCGATTCCGCCACATTTGAATGCGCTAGGGAATTGTTGGACTGAGTGAGAAGCGCCGAATTTCAATAAAAACACGTGGCTTCCGTGTCAGGAAATAATGTTTAAAGGGGCCTACGGCATTTTATTGTGTATTCGGAACAAGTGGAGAGAAACTCACTCTGCAAGGCAATTTATTTAAATGTTCTTGGTGAATGTTTGAATTCGGTGGTTTTATACGACCGATTGAGGAGAGAAAAGAAATTTCAAATAGCGAACGATTTTATTATTCGCAGCGAAATAGAGTTTTCAATGCGTTTAGAAAAAAGAGGAAATAATCCTTACAAAAATTATGCCCAACTTGCCTTTCGCAAAAGGATTTCTTGAGAGAAATGAAATAGCAGCTTCTTTCATGCATAAAGTTTCAGTTGACTCGATTGAAGAGTTACTCTGGAAATGGTTTATTCTTGAATTGTGGAAATAATTTTATGACGATTGTCAAAACCGCCATACAAATTTGATTTGTATCCTATTAAGAGTTGAAACAGGGTTTCATCAAATGTCCCCAAAAGAAAGTAATAAATCTCGAGAGATATCGTGATTTCAATTTTCCATAGGAAATCTTGCGTCCTTTTTATTTGAATTTTAAGAATAAAAATAATAATTGAAAAGTGCCTTTGAGTTTGTTCCTGCTTGGAGAGAGGCTGGCAAAGCTGAGTTTATGGTTTTAATTTAAACTGCTTTGACTTTGACTAGGAAAAGGATAAAAAAAAATGTTGCGCGATCTTTGAGCAAAGAAACTTTTTAATAAACCACATACCAGCAGCCTACAACCCTTGTGAAGTATTTTAATTAATCGACGTGACAAAGAGCCATCTCGCAGAATATGTCAAAATTTGACTCTGAGTAAACAAATATGTAAAACGACAGACAAAACCGTGCATTATTTCACTTGCAGTTTTGCGGCTGAAATTCGCGAGAGGAATTTGTTTGTTTGGCAGAAAGTGTATGAAAGGCGGCGGCCTTTTCATTAGCTGCAAACTCTTTGATGTGAGATTGGCTTTGATATGATACAAGACTTCCCCGAATTCGCGAATATATGAGGGCAGATGCTGCAGCTCTCTTGCTTAAATTGAAATTCATCACAAACACGTTTAATACACAAATGACGAGTCTTGCTGCTTAAATAAGAAGAGGCAGGGGTGCATTTAAGCCTGATCGTTTCCTCCACTTCATTAATTTCATTTTTTACAGAGCACATTAGAGACAAAATGACGATTATAATTCAACACGTGGCACACAATGTTTATTAAATTGGCTTAAATACGGATTTAAAATCTTCAAATGGAAATATTCATCTTAATTTCTTTTCTTCAATATTACAATTATTGATTACACGGAAATTTAGTTATTTCATCTGATATTGTCAGAATAGAATCTAAATAATTTTTTATCTTATACATTGAATAAAATTTGAGGAAATTAATTATTGAAAATAAACCAAATTAATATCTTCATTTCTAAATATTTTTCTGTAATTAATGATTATCTCTTTGATTTTAAATTTTTTCCTACCTTGACGTGTCCGTATCTGCAGGTGAACCAGACGACGACGGGCAGACAGAGCACCGGCACCAGTGATAGGCCAAGCACAGCGCTGCGCATGGCCCAGTTGAGCGCCAGGACGCACGGACTCGCGTCAACGCAAGCGTCACACCCGTCGGCGCACTTCAAACACTCAAACACACTGTCTTGGGGGTACCTGCTGTCCTCGCCCTAAAATCAGAATGAATACAAATTTAGAACAAATAAACTTTTAAATTATAAAAATGAAAGAAATAAGTGTTGTAATTCTCGTAATTTTTACTGTGCAAATATATTATTTTTGTTTTTTTTTATTTATCATGTTTAACTATAATTTAAACATTTTTTTTTATTAAATTTTCGATAATTTATTGCAATGTTCTATGTAATACATATATTCAAAATTTTATACCAACTCGCAAAAACAATTATTTGATCAATATAAAGTAAATGTTTTTATATTGTGATCAGCATTGTCTATAATATCAACTGCATGGAAAGAATTAAAAGTAATCTTGAGCTGAAGATACAGCATTGTTGTTTAATTTTATCGCGAATATCGCATGAACTGTAACTTTTCCCTGACCTTTAAAGTTTCTATACATATAAACTCTATCAATGACCATTATCCACTAATAATAATTGATGAAATAAATAAGAAATAATAAATAAATAAATAGATAAATAAATAAGAAATAATAATAAGATGAAAATTACTGAAATTAAATTTATTATTGTTGTGTATTGGTCCAATTGTTTCATCACAATGAAAATATGTATAAAATTGTAAACAATTTTTGATAACAATTCGTTTGAGGAAAAACATATTGACCAGAATAAATTTAACGTTACATTGTTTTTTTCCAAGAGTCTCTTAATCAAGATTTAAGATCTTAAATTAACAGGCAAACCTAATATGTGCTGGAAAAAGTGCGGTTCGTAAACTTTTTGACAGAGAAATTCCCAAAAAGGGAGCCAGGAAAAAGAAGAAAACTTTTAAGACTTTCAAAGAGCAAGAAAATACTTAGAAAGAAGCAAAACTTAATTCTCTTTTTACCACTTCTTTGAAATCTTACTTAGAAATATATCAGAGTTGAACTCGGCTTGCTAATTTCGCAGAAATCGTCTCGCTCCAAGAGCATTCGCTCGCGTGTCAACATACAAAGCCTCGCATCTCCACACCGAGCACGTCACGCAGACTTTTGCGAGGGAAAGAGTGTGAAGACCGAGTTGGATGCAAATACCGTGTTTTTTGCCCGGCGCACATTTTCCCACTGAAAGTTGGAGAGACAGAAAAAAAGCAACGCCGGCGGATGAGAAGTGTATGTCGACGACAAAAGACGGAGAGAAGCAAAGCTCGTTTTCGTTCGAATGAGAGAGAGAGCAGCGTTTTTTCATTCCCACTTGATGACCGCGTGCACGCCAAAAGAGAGAGAAAAGAATTACTTCAGTGTGGAGTGGAGAGAGGGATGCAAAAACCACTTTTGCAATATTGGATTCTCGGCTGCTGTTTCGTCTAATTTGCTGACGTCGCCATATAAACGTATATCAGGCTTGGCGCGTCGGTATGTGTGTGTTTAGCCGCTCCTCTCCGTGAGCCTAACGTTGTTGACACTCCGGAGACTCTCATTTCATTTGCATGTTTGCTCTAAAATCGGCCGCAAGAATAATCTGCTTTGGCAAATTTCATTTCATACAGTGAACAACTGTTGGAATTTGATTTTAACCTTTGGCCAGAATAATGAAATCTAAGATAATTAAAATCTGTTAAAAATGTTCTCTTTAGTAAAGATTCTTTTGTCTTGAATTCAAAAGTGCAAAAAATATCACGAGAAATAAATTTATACTTGAAAAGATAAGAAAAGCGGTTAGTTAAAAGTGTCATTTTAAGAAGAAAAAAATTAAATAATTGAATTATAGTTGAATTTACCGCCAAATGGAATTCTAAATTTGGTTGCTTAATCATAATCACAAAGTCCTTTCTAGTTTTCTATCACTACACATTAGTAAGATCGACACTTCTTCTAATGCTCAAATGCTTTTGGCGGAAAAAGAACCCCAAAAAACCTTTTTTCATTTTATAGAAAGCATTTAAAAAGTTTAAATTTCTCGATCATAATTTGACCTAATGAATACATAGACTCATTTCAAATTCAAGAATAAAAAAATCATTACTGGAAAGCCCGTTCAGCAATTGATTATTATATCTTCTGAACATATAATATTCAGTTTAAATTATTATTATTATCGAAATTTGCAAAGCTTCAATTTTACAAATTTATTAATAAAAGTTTTGGCGAGGACAAAATTGGAGTCTAGACAGTTGTTTATTTCTTGATTCCCTCCTCTGAAAATTTAATCAAAATAAGTTTAAGTTAGTTTCTCTCGTCAAAGTTGTACGACGGCCAATAAGAGTTTGGTCGGAAACGGAGCAGCTGTTCCCTAATTGGATGGTGGGAAAATTCGCACACACTCTCTCGCCTCTCAATTTTCATCGGCTGCTCCGTGCAGTGCAGATATTTCGTTTTATTTACGACTCGTTCCGAATTAAATTGGGAGCCAAATCGCCACCAGCAGACTTCATAAATTCGCTGTGACTTTGGCAACTATTTCCATTAAAGATTGGAGCCAGACAAGCCGCGAGATCAAAAGCGGCCTCTGCGATATAATATCGTTTACCACTTCGCTATTGTTTGGACACAAAACTTGGGGCGAGTTGTTTGCCTTAACTTGCGAAACTTTCTCGCCAGAAGGTTTACTTAGGAACAGCTCACTTTCAAAGATTTCCGTCTGTGCGATGCCTAAAGTTATATCAAAATTTAATTACGCCCCCTCCGTTCGTTTTCAGCCCTCAATGCAATTATAACCAAAGGAGTGGACATCGCAAAGTTTCCTGACGAACACATTTGCAAAAGACACAACGTTAGAGGTACAAAATGCTGACAACGCCTTGAAGGCTTATCTAATAAGATTAAAGGTTGACCGCAGAATTTAATAAGCAAATAATGGGATTTATGATCAAGATGAAACAAAACGTTGTAATTTGTAGAGGAATTCCAAAAACGAGTGGGTTGATTCATGTTATATTTCTTGGTTATATTGAGGAAAAGATGACTTTTTATTCAAATGAAAGAGTTTTTGTTCGAACTTTTTGAAAGAGCACTTCTTTTTCCAAGATAGAAGAGCATTAGAATGATAAGATGAAATAAAATTAAATTTAATTGGAATAAAAATCGGATTGTATCATTTTAGTGAATGCCGTAAAAATGAATTAGGTTTGTCTGAAGCTGCTCGCAAGATAGATAATAGATAAGTAATATTGCATTGTATTGTATAAAATGTATACTTCTCCTGTTAAGTCGTACACATGTTGTGTTCAATAAAAATTTTCTAATTCGAAATTAAATTTAATCATTAAAAAGATGTTAAAGACTTTTAAATAAAATAAAACAAAAATAATGATCCGTGTAACTTGAATTTTAATAAAATTTATGTAAACATGAGAAAATAGTACCGAAATTTTGAATCAAGTCCTTAAATAATTATCTGACAATTAAATTTGTGATTTCAGATAAAAGAGCAAAAAAAAGACATTTTCAGCCTCAAATATTTTGATACAGAATATGAAAGAATTTGCAAAGATCCATTAGCTGGATGAACTTTAAAGCAAATGAATACATCGAAAAGGATTTTATCAGTAAAATTTGTTTTGCAAAGACTTTTTAATTTATGGTGGATTGAATTTAAATTCGGCTTTTCCTCGATGGGTTTTTGTGAGTTTTTATTGTTTAAGAAAAACAATATCCTGCTGCTTTTTAATTTATTCGTAAATTTTTCTTTTGTTAAGTAAAATTAATAAGACAATTTTATAAATATATCTTTTGAATACTATATAAAATTGTTTATTATCCATTAGGACACGCAGCCTTGCCAAAAGCCCACATTACGACTATATAATTATGATGAGGTCCATCTGGGGATGAGCAATCTCAATTAAAGTAATTTGCCGGTTCTCGCTCTCGTCCCTCGCATATCCATATATATCCGTAAGCAATTACTTCTGGAGCTCGCTATTTGGGTAATTAGAGTTTGCCGCCGGGAGGATTAGTGCGGCCTCGACATCGAGATTTGCACCAGGAGCGAGACCGGACGGGGCGCGTGCGGTCGGTTCAAAATTCTGCAGGTCGTTTGTCTTGGTCCGGACTCGCTATGATTAAGCCCTGCCGGCGAAAGCGTGGTGCGAATCTCTCATGGCAGATGCGACCGAATTGAAGATGAATTGATTGTACGCGGCACGTGTTTTGATCTAGCGCATGAATTTACTATTGGAATGATGAGAGCATCAGCTTATTAACGTGCAATTTGCATTCGACATTATTGTCAATGCGATGCTAATGAGCGTGCAAGCAATTGCAGCCAACCAATCAAAGTCATGGTTTTCTAATGATCGTATGAATGTCAATCATTGTTGACTCGCTCTCACTCTGATTGGCTCCTATGTAATCACGTCAGTCCACTCTCACCTGATGGAATTATTTGTTATGGCTCGACTGCCAAGCAAAACATGAGCTCAAAGTCACAAGTTGATCGTCATAATAAAGCACTCGAAGCTCAATTGGCATGCATTGTACGTGCTTTGATAATTACGCTACCCCATGAGCAATTGTGACGCCTCTTCACTTTTCGATATTCAATCTACAATTCCATTCAATTCACATGCTTTTTTAATATGTTAATTTTGAACCGTTAGACACAAAATAAAATATAAATTTGAAGTCGCAAAATAGTAAAAAAAGGATTCGTTCTTTAAGTTTTTAGTGTCGAAAATTTGATTCTGAATTCTGAATGAAAAATTTTCGTATTTTCATTGTGTATAATTGCAGCTCACTGTTAGAAAGTTTTAAAAATTTAAATGCTCTTATTTTGATGAAAACTGGCATTTAAGGTGCGAATACTGATAAACGTATGAGAAAAACGTTTTTATTCAGCGATTTCTTACCAACAGAAGCTTTATCAAATAAGTAAAATCCGGTTCATAATTTACCTTTAACATTCCCTCCCAAAAATTATAAGACCAATTAAAAAGAATAATAACTAAAATATTAAAGGACAATTCTAATTGTTTAAATTTTTTCCAATAGCACTCAGAAAATCGAAATCTTTGCTAAAATTTCGTTAAAATTGAAGGATAAATTTAATTACATTTTCCCCTATCTTTTACGCTGTGCATTTAATCATTGAAAAGAAAATTTATTGCAAATTCCAAAATTAAAATTTATATATTTTATTAAAAAAAAAATCATTGCGATTAATCGATACGTTGTTCTCTCTTAAAAATGGTGATTCTGTAAACTATGAACATCATGACTAAAAATTTAAAGGGTTATATGATTATAGGATGTAAATTAATTATTCAGATGTAATCTGCTTTACACCCGAACCTATCTTTGTTTTGTAAATTAATTAGCTGCATTACTAATTCTAATTCCCCAAATCTCTCAAAGCAGGCAAATAAGCGGGTTTGCAGTTAGCGGAAGGCAGGCGACGAATTTATGGCTTTCACTGTGTGCGTCTTTGCGATACCCGGAGCTGCCGAGCCAGAGCAGATAAAGACCAACCCTGTGCGCTGATAAACTGGGACGGCAACTGGGAGCCGGACGGTGAGCCGGTTTGCATAATGCCCCGCGGGATCGCAGCGACTCAACTCCTCTCTGACTAAGTGTCCTCGTTCTGTGCTACTTGTTCGCGATTTCTCAACGGTCTTTGCACACACAAAACAGCCGCGTTCCAAAAGTTAGCCGCTTTCGCCTCTCTGGAGAGATGAACGGACTGGATTGGTTTGCGTGTTTGGCAAGAAAATAAAACAACACAATTGAGACGCAAATTCGCCATATAAAGGTTTTGCCCGCGTCCCAAAATGGAATCTGACCTCGTAACAAAATCTGCTCCAAAATTTGAATACAAATTATTCCACTGATGAAAAATTTATTTTTTTCTTCAAATTTTGTTCGGACTGTGGATCTTTGCGAATTTTGTCATTCTTATTTGAATTATTTGAAATTAAAAAATGTTTTTTTCTTAAACTTTTGTGGTATTTTTTAAATTTTGTCGGAACGAAATAAAACTAAAATATCATATTTATGACGATAACATTAGAAAAATAATATAGTTTCGATAAAAATAAATGAGAGACTTTCACAGCTAAATTCACCGCGTTAAAAAAAAATGTTTTCAACTCAGCCAAATAATTATGAAGTTTCTATTTATCAAAATTATAATTGAAGGGGGAGTGGTATTATGCTTTGTACATTTAATGATAAATTTAGATGACGGATGTCAACCTCCCTCCTGGTTGATGCATCCAAGATTGATTGTTGTTGCTGTGCCTCTATTATTGCCATCGTGTTTCACTTTGGTAGGGGAGCTTCTAAGCCAACAACAGAGGCCCCCTAACAGGTACTGCGCGAGAGAAACCCATTTCTCAGCAACCGTCTTTATCAAAGACTGAAGGAAATTGAATTCTCTCCCTGCCGAATGACGCAGATGCGGCGCAAAGCATCAAAAACGGTGGCATTTAATTAACTTCGGAATAAATAAACAGATGCTAGAAGTAAAATTGGAGGAAGCGTTTTTTTATCTTTCTTTTCAAAGACGAAAAGAAAAAGAAAATTTTCTAAAGCGAAATTCATTCCTCAGGGGATTTGCTTCCAAGAAATTTAATTTCGGAACTGAATGCTCTTGTAAATGTAAACAAACACATAGAATCCAATATCATTTTACTTACCATCATGTATTTCTCGTACTCCTCTTCAATAACGGTGCCGTTGAAGTATCTGTTTTGGGAAAGAATGTCCGGGAAGTAGAAGCCTCGACGGCAGACGCACATGTAGCTACCACGACGGAATCCCAATCCTGGCACAGGTACGCACTGCGGAAAAGGTATTTTGCTCAAATTAATTGAACAGTAATTTATCTGATTGAGAAATACAAAACGAAGTTTGAATGAAACATGACCCAAAGATTCAATAAATTCAGTATCACTAAAATTTAATATTTATTTTCAAAAGTATTTTTCTTTTTGTTAAAAATTGCATGAAAACAATTTAACAACGTAATGTGATGTAAAAATTAGACAAATCGTATTTGAAAATGAAAATTGAATTTATTAAAATATTGGAATTGATGTTAATTTTGCCCATTTTGCCAGAGCCTATTTAATTTCTTTGTTTTGTTAAATTTATACTTCAAAGGAGCGATTGCATTTCCCTAAGGATTTTGGATTTGGTATTTTTCTCTAATCAAATTAATAAATGAGCTTGGTTCAATAATTTGCTTATATTATTTGCTTAATTCTGAAAGAAAATTCATTGTAAAAAGATTATTATTAATTTGAATGGATAGGATTTGGAAAAAATTATCAAGCAGATTACACAGAATCCATTTTAAGTTTACTTTTAGCCTCGGGAGGTCCCATCCTGTCAACTCAATTACTCAGTGGCCTGCAAAAAGAGCTTCCCAATCTCTCGCCCATTCGCAGAGAGAGCTAATTGAATTGGGCGCATAAAGAGATTAATGGCATAATCCAAATTGGATGTGCATCTCATTTCGCATGGCCGACGACATTATTTCCGACGTGAACGAATAGGTGGGCTTCAGTTTAAACGTGATGGAAAATTGCAAGTTCAGCCTCTCGCCACTAATCGCGTAATCGCTGCTCGGCTGTTGTTTAAAAAAAATTGAAAGCACGCCGGATCAAGTTGGATTAATTCTGTTTTGCACCCGACACGGGCTAATAAAGGGGATTACGCCTCACGCTGTTAAACGTTTGAAAATGAACCGGATCGCTCCCTCCTGTATTTAAATAAAAATAAAAGAGGAAATTTTACTCGGAATTATATGTACCTCGGTTGTGTCCGTTTTGCACTTGTCCGACGCTGCAAAAATGTTGAGCTCGGACGAGTCTAGAGGCAAAGGGCACTGGTCGATGTCCACTCGACGCAAATCAATATCGATTCCACTCGTCCCTCTGGAAATAAATTTCAAAAAAACGTTACATTTTTTTATTTATTACTTTGTGCGCAAGAAAATTAATCTCCTTTAAATGTTGTCAAGTTGTGAATTACGCGATAAAGGACCGATTTCCAATCAAGCTTCGGTAGCTGAACATTAATCAAACGGAAAAGCATTAATTACTCTTTTCCGATAAATAAACTCGTCCACTCGTGAAATCGATGCGTTTTTGCTGGCTGCGCATTTATCATTTTTCACGCGTTGCCTCAAAGGAAATGACAAACCGCACTACCCTGTCATACACAAAACACAACCAGAGAGAGATTCAAAGAGTTGTGTTTGTTCGCGCATCGTTGGATATTAAACCACTCGCTGTTTGAAAACGACCAGGCATGGGTTTTTTTCAAAGGTAAACGAATTCCTGTTGAGAATATGGCCACATTTATCAACTGAGCTGAGAAAAAACGTCATTTTCCGTGTTGGAAATTTTCGGTCATTTATTGGTCAATATTGATTTATTTAAAACCAAGGAAGAAATCAATTTCAAGTTATATTTGAATTGGAAAACTGTCAAAATTACCTACTGGTTTAAAATCTTCTTTCCATTGGGTGCAAAGATAGATTTTAATAATAATTGAACAGCATTTACGTTTTAAGAAGGAAAGCACAGCAGAAAATTTTAAACTGTGCGACTGTGAACTGAATTTAATGTAATGCAATTAATAAATTTATCACATATAACCTGTTCAACTACCCAACTAGACAAGAATTTTATATTCAATAAATAAGTACAAGTTATATTACTAATGCTGTGAAATAATACATATTAATTAAAAGTCAATGATTTTGTAGTTTTGAAATTTTAAATGATTTCTTTTTGAGAAAATAAAAAAAAACATAGATTTAAAATAGTAATATCATAAAATAAATTTTATAATAGTAAACATTTAAATATTCAATATGTAAAATGACTTAAAAAAACATTTTATATATAAGTAGAAATAATTTAAAAGCTTTTTGTTTTATACAAAACAGTCTTCGATTGCCTGAACATAATTTTTAGTACTGAAGCTCCCTTTTAGAAGGTTGTTTATTGAATTTTACAAAATTCCACCTGTTTCAAATTGGTTTAATAATTTTTTTTTATTGCTACAAGTTTTGAAAACATTTTGTAGCTCTTAACAAGCATATATATGTTTTTCATAACTTTTTCTGATGTTTAAATGAAAAAAGTTTGACAATTTTTTCTGCGAAAGTTCAAAATCTCTCAAAAATTTATTCATACGACTACACAAACAAACTTCCCACGCCAGGAATTTTGTTACTCGCATAACCGTAACATAAACCGTTTGGCGGCGGGCACAGAATTCTGGAAGCTCGGCTTGTTTCACGGAAACCCAAAGCTTCCTCTTGTCTTTCAAAGTCCTTCATCAAATCTTGGCTTTCTCAAGTCGTGGTGGCGCAACAAGTTCGCATGTTGGCCGACGCCTTGGATTAGAAATGTTCAGTGCGCGTGGCGTATTAGACTTAATATTGCCGCAGTATCAAGGCCTCCCTCTCTCTCATTCTGGGCGGAATAATAAACCGGCTTCCCTCCCGAGACGAGAGCCAAATCTTGTTCGTATTCTATTAGCGGCGAGTGCACTTCTTAGCACCAATTTCATTATCATGTCTGTCCCTCGTAAAACTTGAAACTACTTTCAAGACTCGCTGAGAGAGGTTGAAGGACTAACCTGACCGCATCCTCCGGCGAAACAAAAAAAAGTATACAAAGAGCTATTTATCCAAGTAGGAAAATAATGCCTACTAGGAAATTAAAAAATTATACCACCTTTGTAATCTATTTTTTAAATAATGATCAATACAATAAAACTTTGAGAAGACTCAATATGGAGCTAAAAAATTGAGGTTCTATAGAATCACATGAAATATCCTCTATTTGATGAAAATTTCCCTTTTTTCGCCCAATTAAATTTCAATCCATTTTGACGTAAGATCACTTTAATGAGATTTTCTCCTTATGATATATGAGAGGTCACCTAAAATTCCCTATTTTCAAACATTTTCTTAATTTTTCTTCAAATGTTGGATAAAAAATTATCACCTATTTCAAAATAAGATAATTAAGCTTTAAATTTAAGAGATAAATGTGCATAATTTTGTATTTAATGTTCTTAAAGAAAATATATTTGCATGCCTTTGGCGTTCTAGTTGATAAATAGATCTTTTGTTTTGTCACCTAATTGGCCAAAAATCATCAATTTTAACCACACTTCGTTCATATTTACACAAGGAATTTGCAGCAACATCCAATGAATAATGAGGTGTTTGTGGAATTTAGGACGACAGTTAACAAACATGTCACTCCCTCGCTCTGTGGAATTTACGCAAACAATCATGCATAAATGTTAATCAACAATGGAGGGGGGCGAGACAACGCGTCAATCGCCGCGGGGATTACGAGCTACGTGACATCTCATTTGCAAATCTATTCGCTCGCGGTGAGAGCAAACTTTGTGCCTCGGAATTTCAAACATCGTGGTGTGTGAAAATGAGGTACGGGTGAAAAAGTGGCTGCCGTCTATTTTCGCTCTTTGATACGAGGTTTTTGCTTTCAGTCTGCGCTACGCCACAATATTATGAGTTTTCCTTTTAATTTAAACTTTGATGCTCTGGTATTTACCGTGACGTCCGTGACGCAGACCAAAAGTTTCCTTTCTAATATTTTTTGTGGCTACGCCGTTCAACTAACATTGGAGAGACAAATTGGACTGTTGAAAAACATGTATTTTAAATCTGAGAGTGGAAATGTTTGTTGAATTTCATTATGCAATTTTTTAGGGTAGTTTTTGTTCACTTTAAGTTATTAAATTAATGTTATTTTGAGAATTCTTTGAAAAATTTTCTTCCTAAATATTCCTATCTATTTTGTAAGAATTTATTGCAAATTTAGAAACAAATTTAAATAGAGTGATTTTATTTTGGGACAAATTTTGGTCTTTTTTTGGCAACAAAAAGAGCTAAAATGTTTTAAAAATTGAAGTTGGTTTTAGAATTCTACTTATTTTTTAAAGATTTTGCAAACTTTTAAAGGTCAGTGAAAACTTCAAAGCACTTCTGAGGAAAATTTTTCTTCTTTTTTTTAAACCACAGATTCAAAATTAATCAGTAATTTTATTTTATTTTGATTTCAGTTATTTCTTCTTGAACTTCATTCTTTTCAATAAAGTAAACGACAAAATCGCTGATTTCGCTGTGCCCACCGCAGATCTGTCTTCCTTTTTAACAAAAAATTCATAATATATTCAGGCTTTTTCTAAAAATAAAAAATATTCAAAATTAATTTGAATTTGAAGTATTATAAGTTATACCAGCAAAAAATTCTTGGTACAAAAAATTATATCTTTTTTACTGCCGAGAAAGATTTCACACATTTATGGATTCAGTCACTTTATATTTCAAAAAGCCTATTGCTTTACAAGTGCGAATTGAAAATGACAAGCGTTTGACGCATCCAACTGGCTACAGGGACTGCGATTCACTCACTGGTAAAGTGGGGTTGCCGGGTGAGCACGGCCTAAATGGAAAATGCGATTAAGCACATTCAAACGGCGTCAGAACTGAATTCGTCAACCAAAAAGGGAAATCGCTCTCGAGCGGATGCAAATTACAATGTGCGACTCTCCGACGGACGAATGAACGGTCGGTCGGAGAGAGGAATGGAGGCAGGCACACGAGAGCCCTTCACAGCTAGTTACTCTCGTCGCTCAGCTTAATATTTATCGCCACGGTGAAAATTGCCCACGTATAATGGCGGCGGCTCAGAAAGGGATTTTCAATTTCAGTGATTAAAAATCCTTACAGCCTTTTTCATCTCTGATAATAATCCTCTTGAACACGGACCAACATTTTTCCATTTCGAACACCCGTTCTTTCAAAGCAACATTTTCTGCCTACAAAGAGAAGATAATCCTGTAAAGTAATAATAATGATCAAAGTGAGTTGGTCGAATTGGATTTGGATGAAATTTGATCGAACGCCGTTGAAGCCGCAACCAGACGGTCAGAAGGAAGAGCGCGCGTGCTTCAGAAACATGATCGAACCGCTCAATCAACTGGTCCTTTTGTTTTCAGCGCAGGTAGCCAAGCAAGACGGTGAAAGAGCGTCTAGGATTGCATATAAATGTCTGATCTGTTCTCTCTCCGGCGGAGGAAAGTTGATACTTGTGAGGTGCTTTTCGCGATCAATAGCAAAGAGAGCAAAGGGCCTTTGTTTGATTTGCCGGACCAAATCTCGTTATTTCGTCGGTTCAAAACGGATAAAGAAAATATCCTCGTAATCACTTCAGTATATAGAGGCATAAAAAAGACAAACATTGACTCACTTGAAGTAGTATTTGTTGGCCTGGTGGTCAAAGCCGAAGAAGGGCACCGTGTAGGTGAGCATCCAGATGTTGGCACCACCGCAATCGTAGTAGGGTTTGCTCCAGTGGCCGTCCTCGTACGTCACCGCAAGGATTTCATCCGGCATCCGCGCCGAGTGGGCAGACTCGTTGTGCGTGTAAGTGTTGAAGCCTGCAAACAAATAAAAATTCTTTAGCTACGTGGAAATATTTTGGTATTTGCAGAAGATTGAATTTTTGTTCGGCGTTCTCAATAAATTTCAACGCAACAAAATTAAATAACCAATTTCATAGAAATTTCAAAAATTGCACACATTCATCAAAACAAATAATTTTCAAGCACAGATCTGGGATTTTGGAAGAATTTTTTTAGTGATATGGTTTGAAATTTTAGTGCGTTTCTTTTTGAAATATATTTTTTTCATATTTTTTGTAGAAAAAGGTGGATTTTATTCAGATTTCAAATTAATTCAATAAATTAATAGCTCGCGTGCTTAAGGAATCTTATTTCAGTGCGCAAAATTTTATTCATCTTTGATGATTTATGATTTAAAACAATTTCAATGAATAATTTTAACTTATCTAAAAGTTGATAACGTTTTGTGTTAATAAAAACTCAACAGATTTTTCAGCTTCGAAATATAAAATCTTCTTCATTCAAAAGAGTTCTAAAATTAACAATCCATGTGTAGTGTTATTATAGAAAAAGGAGCTTTTTTAAATTCAAAATTGCTTTAAAAAATGGATTTTTCCTTATTCAATATTATTCTATATCAAATAAACTAGAATTCAATTATTTTTCTTTTGATGCTGACAAAAAGTACAGCAATAGGATAAAAGCTGGAGTGTTAAACCTTTACGAACGGTAAGTTACATTTTCGTTTTCGTTTTACTATATGTCAGTCGTGCAAACATATAAACGGTTAAACCCGGCATGTTTTTCACAGTTCGTCTCTGGAGATTTTGTTTTGCTCGGCGGCGCGGCGAGATGAAAGACCCTCGTCTCTTTCTAGCACTCGGTGTGTCTCCGCTTTCTCTTTTTCCATTTTTCACGCCGACTGCGTGTTTACGCCGGAAAAGTTTAATTTTACACGCGATATATCATTGGCTTAATTTGCATCTAGACGAGCAAGGAGGCGGAGGAGGCCATTTAAATTAGACTGCCGGCGCCGAGCTACGGCCGGTCCAACTTTTTGCCTTTCACGGTGGGCCGCGCGAAATTAATTCCTTAAAAGGCTTTATTACGAACGCCTCCCGTAAAAACGGAGCTTTTTGCGGAATAAAGTTAAAAATATAAAAAAGTCCCAGCGGGGGACAGAACAAGTTTACGCAGAATTCATTAGCGGAGCTGAATAAGAGTGGAGACTGCAGAGTTCATTTGCATTTTGCTTGTTACGGAGAAAAGTAAGTTCTCAAATTCAATGTTCGTCCTCGGAGACGCCGTCGGCATTGGAAAAAGATGCGCGCACGTTTTTGACATTCGTCGAAGGCCATCTGGACCACGCACGAAAGAAAGCCACTTTCCCTTATTGCCTTTTTTGAAGTGCAACCTCGGCCGGATGGAGTGAATCAGAATATTGGCGGGCAGAGAGAAAGGCAGAGATTGAAAGCTTCCCGCAGACCACACAGGGAAAACGTGCTTCAAATGTTGCAGCATAACAAAGCATATGTTTATTTTATTTCGTTCGGGCGAGGGAAAAATAACAAGATTTAAAGCTTTCAGCCCTTATTGGAATTGTTAGTCGATGTGTTTCGGTTTAGGTTTTTTGGATTGGTATAAAATGGTACAAAAAAACTGCCTGTCGTGGGGAAGATTATGCAACACGCACGACACAAATGAACAACATGTTGCCTATCATTTTAATTCAATTTAAAATTATCTTAATTGTGATAAATTGGAATTGAAGAAGTCAGGGTTCGTTGTAAAAAATGGTCGGCTGCGCGCTAATCACCCTATAAAAATCACCCCCCCCCCCCATCAATCTGTCGTTAGATAGCTTTTTGTGTATGTAGCATTTTAATATTCAAGTTTTAAAGCATAATAAACAATTAGCTATAAACTATTAATTCTCATCAGTCTTTCATCTGTAAAAAATGCATCCATTTTTCATTTCGAAGTTATAATAACAAATAATCGAGCTAAAAATATATTAGACTCTCTATGACGCTCAGCTTTGAGGATGCAAAATCTGAAAATCTGGCCTAATTACCATTCATAACGACTCGTTTCGCTCTCCGACCAATACAGCTTGAACTTTCATACAAATCGGCAACACATTGCAGAAAACGAGGGCGACTGACCGAGTAATAATAGGATCGCATTGGCCTCATTAAAAGGCTGCTCATTATTTTCCCCCTCTCTATGAATAACAACAGTTATTGCAGTTAACGATATGCCAGAGTGCAAACATCATTATTTGTCCGTCTATGCACTCGAGTGAGAGGAAAAGCGAGGGAGTGAAACAACTGATGCATGTGTAAACTTTCTGCTCGCTGTGCACTGCACGATTTAAAATATGTGCACGCCATCGACCCTTACAAAATGAGCACGTGCACTTATAGTATTGCAAATGCTAAATAAATAAAAATGTCACTCCGTTTAACAGATCTTGAGGTTTACATAATATTAATCTTTTTACTTAAAATTGAGATATTTTTCTGAATTTTGAAATTAATGTGTAAATATAATTATTTTAATTATTTTAAAATATTTGTATTGGTAAAAGTTATGTGGCTCACATTTAGCTTCTGTATGTGATAATATGACAAAATATTATAAATAATTAATATTTTCGGTATTTTTTCAGGTAACTATATTTCTAAATATCTTGAAGTTCATAAACGCATTGAATATCAGGTTGGATCGCCAGATTCACCTAATTCATGAAATTAAAAGGTGATTTTAGAAACAAATAACTATTGTTTTATTATTTTTTTTTATAATTTTTTTCTATTTGTTCAGCAGGATGAAGTTTATCGTAGTAATTTTGTAGCCATTTGTTTTTTCTCCACTTTGAACAAGCAAATCTGCGAGCATGATATGCAAATAACTGCATGTATTACAGTTTGTAGATGGGGTTGTTGATCGGGAGTGCTGCCTGGAAAACACACACGATCGGGCAAAATGCGCGTTGCCCTCGATAAATAGCTTGAGCTTAACTGCCTCACCTGATCGAACTCTATTTTGCACGATCTCACCCTGGTATTATTTTCAAGAAAAAGGTTGTCAAGCATGCAAAAGGAATATGTATCAAGTTTGCTGGCAGCCTCGTTCTCTCGGGAGCTGACATTTTATATCATACATACACAATTTTAATATAAATTTATACATCTTTCATGTAATGGAAGTGAATGAATATATTTCAATTTTGCTTCTGTACATCAAGTAGAGTTTTTATTTGTATTTCTCCATATGAAAGAAAGACAATTTAAAGGTAAGCAAACTATAATTTAAAATGTAACAATTTCAAAAAGATACATAATTATGAAGAGTTTCAATTCATGCATGAAAATTGTAAATACCTCTTCAATAAGGAACTTTTACCTGAGGATTTTTCAATTAAAATTTTGCCTCAAAAGTTATCCATTAGAATTACTCTTTTTATGAAAATTCTTTTCAATTTTATACTAGAAAATTTCAAATGTTTTCATTTAGCGTTGGGAACTAACAAAGATCGCGTTCCGGCGAGATTTACCTCCACCGCAGAGAAAACACAGTTAATTTAAAAGTTACGTGTATTGTGCCATGAAGCCGCAGTGAAAACAATGCCCCTCTCTCTGTAGTATTCTGTGTTGTGTAAAAATGAAGCTGCACCTCTCAGTCTGCAGTGCAGTTCTAAACAAACAATCCTCGGATGGAAATATATTAATGGAAAATTAAATTGCGAGACTGCATCAAGCATGAATTATTCGCCCCACTGAATCATTCTCCACTTTTCCAGCGCATCTCACTCTGCTCCAGGGAATCATAAACGTGTTCATCGAATTAATAATTCGAGACTTGTTCTTTTTCCGAGCGCATAATTGAAAATAATAGCTCAGCCAGACCTCGAGCAAATCGTTTCAAATTAGCCGCACACGTGCGGTCGAACGGCCCTTGTTAAAACTGCATGGTCATTCAGTCGGCGACCACCACCGCATGGTGATTCTGCGGATTCAGGGTCGTGGAATACTGCCCGCCGCAAATAATTGGATCTCCGCTTCAAATGAAATAATACACACGCCAATACAAATCTCTCTCGCTCGCTCTCGTAGAAGATGAGTGCCGAGAGCTGCCATTCAATATTCAATTTGATTAAATTGGAAGCTTTTTGATGGAATACTTTCAGTTGCGCGATAAATTGGTTTTCAGGATTGCATTTAAATTAAATTTTGTCGCCTTGTTGTTAAAGAATAAAAGAATTGAATTGAAATTTACCACAATCAGAGGAATCAATGAGTAAAAATTAAAATTTGTAATTATTTGGCATTTCAATAGCAGCTTTCAAGGAATGATTTTTACTCTTCAATTCAAATGAATACAAAATTTTATGAAATTGAAATCATGACCGAAAAAATTCGCACTTCAAAGGAGTTTTCTGCTAAAATAATTTAAACTTAGAGAAAAGTTGCAGTATTTATAGCACGGCTTACAAAAATGTAATTTGCATATTTTCTCACAAATTTATTGATCTGGTCGTCCTTCATGTAAATTTAAGCATTCTATCAATTCCTATTTCAACATTTAGAGTGCGAATTATTTTAAAAGGTTTTGATTTCAGTCAAGACATTTTGTGATATTCAGAATAACAGAATAATTATAAATTATTAAATGTATATTTTTCCCATTTACTTTAATTATTCGTGATCTTCCTTTATTTTAACTACAGCTCAACATCGCTGCAGTGATGATTAATCTTTTTAAATTTATTTAAGCTACATTTTTACAAATTTGTAAGGATTTTTACATTTTCTAGATTAATTTGAAGTCTGAATGTTATCATAAAAAAATACTGCACAATTTTACAGAAATTCGCAGCATTTTTGCTCCACTTATTTTTAATGTGCTTCTAACAGCGGAAAAGTTACCATCCAACTCTTCATACTTTTCATCCCTTTCTCTTCGAGTTGCAAGTTAGTCCTTCGTGATAGATATAAACAGCTGCACGAGGACATGTTTTTTTTTGTCACGAG